TATAAGACTGGCACGTCTGCCATTTAGATAGGAGCTTCGTGCTCAACTTAGTTATCAATCTTATCATATTAGTTTGACATCTTTGATACAAGTAACGAGTTCACTTCCAAGTGAACAACCCGATAGTCTTCTTCTTATCATAGCATACCAACCAGCGAACACCCAGCCAAGTTTAGTTAGCCAGTTTGAGTATTCGTTACAATTATATAGTAGGTTATAAGAGTTACTCTACTTCCTTTCTAGTAGAGCTCTTTTAGGTATTAGCTATACGCGCTAGTACTATATATACTTATACTCCTTCCTATATGATTAAGTAAGCTTTTAACTTAATATAACTAAGTTACTTCTTTTATAATTACTTTACTCCCTCCTCTATACTCCTAGAACTCGTTATAATTCCCGCTATAATCGGCTAACTATAAGGTAACTTATATTATTTCTATTAATTTATATATCCTTAATATCTATAATTCGGATAGTATATGTGACAGACGTGCTCCAGGTAGAACTCAGAACAATTAACACTCTATTCTTAGGACAAAAGACGAGGAAAGAAGGAGAGCTCGAGAGAGCTGGGAACTAAATACAGGTCGTGCGCGCTAGCGCCTCGCTAAGCGAGCATGTGACATCCAGCCCTCGTGACCATAACCGTCACATCACCCCCCCCTTTAAAAAGAGCTCGCCCCGAGCGTTGAAAATCTGAACTAATTGTGAAAAATACCCTTTTGCCAGGCATCTGGATGGTCAGGATCGTCCGAATCTACCTCCGCGCTATCGTAAGCATTGTCGTTCATAGCTGCTATTACTACTCTGCCTGGTCTTGCAATCTGCTTTCGTACTGGCTTTGGGAATGCCTCCCCAGCTGGTAGATCCCCCAAATCTATGGCTGATTTCCTTCCTTGTGGTCCTGGTGAGAAAGGACGGAGTATGCAATCGTTGACCCAGTGTTCCAAGGAGCCACATCGTACACACCTGCCTTCAGCTCTATATTGATCTCTACGCTCAGGGGAAATAGAGCGAGCGCGTGGAGGAGAGGATGGGTCGATGGAATTGATGCTAAAAGCATTTATGTCCATTGGTTCGCTGTGGTGGTTGCCAGAGGAGTAGGACTGTGTAGGTTGTGTAGACGAAGAGAAGCGGCCTGCTAATTGTTGTACGACGCGTATGAATGTAGTATAATCGCGAGGTAGGTTGAGTTGTTGAGAAAGTCGTCCGCGAAGAGTAGAATTAAGGCCATTCCTAAAGGTGGAAATTTTGTTGACATCTGGCCAGTCCTGACCTCTTGCTTCGTAAAGGACACGCTCAAACTTGGCGATATATGTAGGGACTGAGTCAGCACCTTGCTTGAGGGCAAATAGCTTGTCTTCCGCCTCCTGTACCTTGTTTGGATTGTCGTACACGCGCGCGAGCTGTTCGAGGATTGTTTGGTAGTCCCAGCTTTGGGTGTCTTCTGCTTGAGAGAGCTGTGGAAGGACCATGGCTTGGACGTGGGAGTCAAGGTTGAGGTAGACGTAGTAGAACTGCGCAATAGCGTCTCCAATAGCTGTACCGTCGACTCGTAGCTTTGCTTTGATTGAGGGAAGCCAGGTGTCGAATTTATGAGCCTGGCCAGTGAATTTGTCAGGGTCTGGGAGGGAAGGTTTAGGCTTTGCGGATGTTCTTGACCGGAGTAAGTGAATCTCGTCGCGCTGTCGCTGGACTTCAGCTTGCAACTCAGCGATGGCGGACTGAACTTGAAGGGCATCCATTGTAGAGAAGTCGAAAAAAGAAGAGGTTTCGTCGTGTTGTAAAGTGTAGGGTTCTTGCGCACAAGAAAGTGGTAGAAATCGTGAGAATTGAGACGTAAGATCGTGGACCTGAACTTGGACGTGAACGTGAACTTAGACCTGGGATACTTAGCCTCAACTAAGGGTCTTTTGTAATGTGACAGACGTGCTCCAGGTAGAACTCAGAACAATTAACACTCTATTCTTAGGACAAAAGACGAGGAAAGAAGGAGAGCTCGAGAGAGCTGGGAACTAAATACAGGTCGTGCGCGCTAGCGCCTCGCTAAGCGAGCATGTGACATCCAGCCCTCGTGACCATAACCGTCACAGTATAAGATCAAACTTAATATACATATAATCTACTATCTTATCCCTTATTAATTTCCTATTTTATTAAAGGAAGTCTAAGATATATTATTTAATATCTAGATTATTCCACTCTAATATACGTCCTAGCTTATACTTATACTATAGAATTAGAGCTAAAGATATCTCCTCTAAAAGCTCCTCCTTAATATATTAAATAGACCTAGAAGTATAAGAGAACTCCTTTATAATACCTTCGAAGTTAGTAGAACTAAGGATAGTAAAGTTATAAATACTATCTATAATACCTTATTATTAAGCTAGGTCGATTTGAGGGGCTATTTAAAATATGTTCGTATATATAGATAATATTAATAGTATTAATAGTATTATAAATTAAAAGGAATAGGTAGTATTTAATAGATATTTTAAAAGCTATTATTTTTTAGTATAGTTACTATTTAATACGCACAGATTCTACAAAAGTCGGTAAATTCACGGTTTAAAGCTTATATCGAATTCGACTGTGGCTCTAGTAGCTATATAAAGTATACTTTGCTTGTCGTTATAATATAGAAGTAAGTAGTACTATAATTACACGTCTAACTATAATAATACAAAATTCCATGGGAACGATATATGACTTAAAGATTTCAAAACAAGACTCTGAGTTTATACTTGATAAGCGGATAGAGTTTCAGTAAGTTCTATGATTCCCAAGGTACGCTTCCGAATATCGTAATTCTACTAGGCCACAACGTCACGTTTTTGGTCACATGCATTCCCATGAAACAACGCGGTAAGTTCCTGAGATGGAACTTCCCAGCTTCATCTGAAGCGGAATGACTGAGTAGAGTTCAAGGTGTCATGTACTGATTTCAGATAGATTCGAGTTTATGTAAAACCTAAATCTCAGATAATGTTAAGTTCTCGCATACTAATAACTCTATTCACCCCTTCTTCAGTTTTTGTTTTGACGGGAGTACAGTACCTAGATACGCTTTTATGCTTGTTTATTTGGTACTTAGATGGACTTCGGATGCATTTTGATTCTATCGCACCGCTTAGATCTTGGCTTATCTAACAAGCTAGTATAGCTTTTCAACTATATCGTAACATCTATAGAAACCCTTGATACTAGATTACGCGCTATAAGGATACCGCGGTCATATATTTATATCCCCTAGCCCTAGTTCTTTAAAGGTAGGTTTTGTATTAAATAAAACCTTGATTGAAGGATATCCTTAAATTCTAAGATTATATAAAGACTAGAGAACTATATTATATATTACTAATACTTAAATATGCGACCTTATCGTCACCGAGTCAAGAACCTTGCTATAAGGATAACCTTTGTTATATCCTTATAGATACTAATAAATCCTATATTATTCTAGCATTCAAGGACTTCTGTAACTCCGTATGGTATAGCCTAGCCGATCCTTCGAATTAATATAGTTTCTTATAGCCTGTATACACTAACTAGCAACGCCATTTACTCAATTGATCCTTTCCGATGCTACCGACAGTGCATATAATGTAAAAGTAAGGGCAAAGGCTCCAAGGAGCTTAGATTAGACGAGAAAATCACTTACTCATGGAGTATGGGGATCACGTGACCTTTATGACACTTGATTACATACCGACGTCTATAAGTAGAAGCGTTTACTCACTGTAGGTAGATACATTCTCTTGCTTCGCTATAATCGCATGACATAGCATCATGAACATCCCTTGCTTGCTAACTCTGTACATAAGGCCGTGAATACAATAAACAACCTTCGTTTTGTTTTGGTACTTTCCTGATTGCACTCTCGGGCCACTAGTAAGTAGTTGTAAGTTAAAATATCCTACTTGGTGTTCTAAGATATGTGACCTATTCGTATTATATCTATACTCCCGCCTAATTATTTTCTCTTTGCCAGTGCTACTTCTACTTATTTCACCCTTTCTAATTAGATAGCGAATAATCTACCCCTTATTCCGCTGAACTAGAAATCTCAAAAGCATCTACTAAATAGACGTAGATTATGAGCGGGGTCTTGCTATAGGACTAAATCTACACTTTTTAGATAACGAGAGGCTTCGGAGCCTCTAGATATATCAAACCTAGATCTTGGGTTTACGACTCCTACTAGCTCTAAACCCTGTTACTACTCATATACTCACATTAACTCTTGTAGGTCTAAGAGTACAATTAAGGGAGTACCGGAACGAAACCGAGTAACGTGGCGGCGTCTTGAATAATACCTCGATCCATAAACCTCAGAGAATTTGCCAGCATCTTCGATGTTGAAGCAACGGAGTTACTATACGATACCTGTCTTACGCTTAACAATGTATGGTCGTACCGTTTAGCAAATATTAATTTGCGTCTTCGTGTAGATTAATTGTCCTTGAGCACCTTAGTGATGCCAAGCCTTTTGAAATCTTCGCTGTGTGTACGAACTTTCAAGAGTACCGGATAGGCTGACAACTGCGGTGAGTTACACTCCTTCCCTTGCCCTTGCCCTTAAAAGAAGTAGATTGTCGCTGTTGTTTTGGTGTCATATTGTCACCCAATCCGAGACAAATGTTATTTTGAGAGGCCCTGGCTGACGTGTCTCTTTTTCGATGATAAGTAATGCCTTTCGCAACCAATTGAGAATACAGAATGTGGAGAGATAACATGGCTTGACAGGATCACGGGTCAACAATTCCTTAACTTGAGCCCGCTCGTAACGTTTATACAAGGAAACAGAGTGAAATGAGAGTAACAAACACACCTTTCTCAAAGGTCAATACGTGCAATTGTATTGTTATGTCTTGTATCTCATTTTTCGAATACCATGACACTTTGGTGTCAAAGAAGTAAAGAGAAATGTAAGCAAGTCTTTCTTTTGAATTTGGATAAACTTCTAGAACAGTTCCGACGCCAAAGATTTCGATGCCTGACAAAGCAAAACTGATAGATCCCATGCATACTCAGTTCCCCACAACAAGAAGCCTGACTTACTATGATTGGACAAGCTTCCAATGCTCAAATATCTCACCCCTAATCACTTCGCAGATGATTTTCCTTCAAAGTCGACACCAAAGACCGTCACCACACGAGCCATGCTGTAAAAGTAACCCTAATGCAATACCAATGTAAGCCATTAAGCATGTGAACCGCATTTTCGAAACCGGAAGGAAAGCATCTGACCTGAATAACAACAATCTCCACCAATGCCTGGTCGCTATAGAACTCCCTTGCCCTTCGAAAGATCTCTTCCGACACCCCGGGACCGTCAATGACAGCATCCAGGAATTTCAACAGTGCCTTGTCTTTCTCTGCCCACAATGGTGTCATAAGATCACCCTCTGAGACTGCTGATATCTGATCCTCGGATAACCCCGCAATTCTTGATGTCGGCACGTGTTTCCTCCAATGGTAGTCTGACGATGCACGCTTTGCAACCCAAAGACTGACAAGTTCGTTGGTGTATGTAGATAGAGAAGTCTCGCGAAAGCATGCTGTCCCCAGAGAAAGAAGATGAGGTAGCGTCGAAGGGGAATGTGCTAGCATCCGAAAGATATTGAGTGGGGGTATCGTCTTTGGAAGCACATTTGCAGGCCGATATGGAATTCTTGCTAGCGAGGAGGATGAGGCCATATCTGATATCAGATTTTTGCTGGACTTCATTTCTCAATGGCGTTTTGCGAGAACAAAGGCATGCTGGGAAGAACAAATGACATCAGGGAAAATCGTTCTTATCTGGGCGATTCAACGACACCTCTTACCCCATCATGATCCAACAACATTGAGCGGCCATCGCACCATGGAAATTGACTCAATTGGCTGCTAGGCGTACTTCTATGGCAAGGGTTTCTATTCCCTGTTTTGTTGCCATGATGCGCCACCATGTTCCACATGTGTAACCAAAATCAAACCTGAGCATACCCATTTGACAGAAATAAGGATAAATTAACATTAATAGCATCCCGGAATGTTTTCAGATTGACACCCGTGGTCTCTCAGCGCTGACTGAGCCTGTCCCAGAACGGCGGGGTGAGACAAGTGTAAGCCTTACTGCCGGTAGTGAAGGAAAAGGGTGTTACAATCTTCTGGGTTCTCAATGGAGCAAATGCGCAACCCAATATTGACCAAAGGCTGGTTTCTGAGGCATAGGGAAACCTCCAGTTCATACTCAACAAAGTCGTACGATGCGTGGTCATCTGGACCACCACCACCCTTGATCAAAACCCCGGCGGATTTGTACTCTTTTCCGCGGGACTCCCACTAGAAGGACCACTAACATTCGAAGAAACTAGCCTGAAATTAGGTTGATATCCAAAATAAACTGGCCCAGAAAAGGATTGATAATCAACGTGCATAGCCTTCCTTGTCGTGATCCCCGGAATCCCTGGTAACACGAGTAGAGCGCTCCGAGATTCGGGATATTCGGGAGATTCGTTTGCTAACCGCAGACTTTTCCGATTTCGATGTTCAAGCTATGATGCTGATTCATAAGAGGCAGGAGAGTCCCCCAATGCTCTTCAAGAAAAGTGATCTTGTCGTCTCCCGGGTTTTCTTTAGCCCTCTCCTGATGATTCATCTGAGACACTCACCTGTCTTTTCGAGTGCCAAGGACCATAGCCAACGAGGGAAACAATTTCCCGTTTCGTACAGTATTGGTTGTTTGTGTTAGGTCTCAGTATCCCCATATGATCGTGATAAGCGTTCGATTCCACAGGGCTAGACCATAGCCCTTCCTGTTGGTTATAAGATATCTACCCCAGAGTCCTCACATTTGGCATTAGATCTCGAAAGTTTTTGTGTTTGGGTTTCGGTCCAGAGCCAGAAGCTGATCATAGGATTTTGCGCAGAGCTTATCATGGCGTTTCCAAAATAAATTCGACAGGTTTGGCACCGTTCCTATCCCTTTCCATGCTGCTCGAATATATTCCGATCATGAGACTTCCGTCAACCGGCTATCGGCAAGCTACTCTCGTTCAGTTCATCAACGGTTATCCATACAGGGGATGGGTTTTTGGCACCTGGATTTGGATTTAACCAACCGCTTATCGCCCCTGATTTGGTAGCCGCGTTATTAGAGGTAGCTACTGGAACAAAAACAGCTGAGCGACATCTGGCGTGCCTCGGGGATTTCCAATCACTATGGAGGCCAAGTCAAATCAAATACAGGAAGAGGACAAATTATGTCACCTGTAACCATACGAAGTTCTCAGCACAGGTTTGTAGCAGAGACACGGGAGTAAAACTTACGACGTTGATGTGGAAGCCAAACGGAGGTGGTGACATTGAAAGCTTGAAGTCTGAAGCGAAACCCCTGAAATACCCACGTGACATTGAAGGCGATATCGCGGCTGCCTGAGGTGATACTGGTGAGCCTCAATGTGTCGAGAAGGAAGTCGGATGACTGGAAAGAACACCGTGAACTCACATAGCTGGTCGAGCACCATGAGAGCCAAGTGGAATTGGAAAATTGCTCCTTCCATCCCATCCAGCCATCCCTCGATCAAGAATGCTCGTCACTGCGACGACCACGGAGCGGTGCGAGAATCGAGGTTGAGGTTACCTCTTCCTTCATCGTCAAATTGAGATAGCTCTAGAGCGCGACGAGGGCCGAGACAATATGGAGGGAAAACACGATGTGGTTTGTGTTCAGAGTCTCAAAGTATAGATAACCCCCTTCCGTCCCCTCTTCGTGCTCTCCATTTCTACAATATGTGGCGGAGGGGAGGGTAGGAGGCGAGACCTGTGGACGCCACTATTTTGGATGTTGCCGCAAAACTCTCAACAAGCTTCGCCACTCGTAAAAATCCCCTACGATCAGGAATAGAGAGGTTTGGAGGTTGCCAAGCTTCAGATGATATCTCTCTTAGGGCTCAAGGCGAAGGTACTCTGGCAAAATTTACATATGTCTTATGAATCGTACATCGAATGGTAGTTATCTGCAATTAGTCTGTTCCAGTAAATTCATACGCTGCCAGTAGAGTAGACCAAACAGTATCCATCAAATAGCATTCATTACCTTAAAGAAGCTAACAAATAAGCTTCAGAGAATGCATCACAGATTTAGATAGAATTAACCAATACTTTAATTAGTAAGTGAATGAATCACAACAATTCACATTCATCAGCACAGAAGTTTATTATATAACTGTTTTTATATTTTCTCTACTTCTAATATCTCTCTAAACCGTAATCTCTCTATCTCCCAGATCTAATAATCTTCTCTAGTCTATCGATATCAGATCTAATAATCCCAAAGGGGTTCAGGTTTCCGTTTCATTTTTTCAGAAACTCACACCTAGCAACCAAATGTCTACCTAACTCCATAATACTAGAGTTCCCAAGAATCTCAAAGACCGCCACATCACAACCCAGACTTCGCTTCATCCACGATCGCACCTCGACGGCTGCCAAACTATCAACGCCATAGATATGCATCGGCTTTCTCGTATCGATATCTTTCTTGTCGATCGCCAAGGTTTTGGCGAGCTTCGAAGCGACAGCTTCGACGATCTCTGCGCCGATTTCGGTGTCCGAGGTTAAGGATACGACTTTTTCGGCGAAGGTTTCGGAGGTCGACTGCTCAGATGATAATATTGCACTGCTATCTCGGATTTGCAGGAGGTTTGCGAATAATGGAGCATTGCACCAACTTGGAATATCGACTACCTTGGCTCTCATATTCGCAGGTGTCTCGAATCCGGTGACCAGCTGGCTGTGAATCGGATTCCCCATTTCCAACGCAGGGTCGCAGCAGTACTCCAGCATTCGATGAAGCTCCTGCTCTTCGCTTACGATGAACCCGTGTGACTCGAGTTGCCTTGCAAGGCCGTCCTTGGTCGAGACATACCCAGCTGAGTATATCCCTCCGAGATCAAGAGACATGGCTTTCCGGATACCGTTGGCAGTGAGATGTCTTGCGAGGGTGTCTTGATAAGTGTTTCCGGAGGCATAATTCGACTGTCCATGCCATCCAACAATCCCACTGCTTGAGGATAAGAAGACAAAGAATTCGAGGTTTCGAGGAAGTAATAAATGCAAATTCCACGATCCATCCACCTTGGGAAGAACTGCCGCATTATAGGACTCGCGGGTCATGTTATCGAAGGTTGAGTCTTGCAAGACCATTGTGCTTTGTATGCAACCTTTGATGGGTGGCATGCAGCTACTGCACTCCGCAAGCACCTTTGAGAGGGATTTCCGGTCGGTGATATCGCATGGTGGTGCCATGACATTCACGCCTTGGCATTTGAGCGATTTCAAAAATGATTTCGCGGTGTCATTTTTCGGTCCACTGCGAGAAAGAAGGACCAAATTCTTCGCACCGCGATTCACCATCCATAAAGCAAGACTCTTGCCTAATCCGCCAAGCCCTCCTGCTATGAGGTATGTTGCTGTTTCCTCAAAATTATACGTTGGTAGTGTACTCGGGACAGCCTGAAAGAGTTAGTAATCTCAAATCTCGCAGTAATAATGGCTTTACTTACCTTAACAATGTCATCCTCACCGAACTCAATTACCACCTTCCCCATACTCTTTCCACTCTGTATTAATCGAAATCCATCCTCAATCTGCCCAGCATTAAAAATATTAATCGGTTCCTGGGCATTGATCTTTCTCTCCTCCATTAGCTTCATGACATCGCCCAGCACCTGTTTCATTACGTTCTTGTTGTTGTTCTTTAGATAAATTAAATGGACACCACTAAACGTGGCCATTCTCGAAAAGGTGACCATTGGAAGGCTGTTATGAGAAATCGCGTCTTTCATACCGGTTTCGATGAACCGACCGAATGGTGCAATACACTCCCAGGTATTCCGCAAACCTTCGCCAGAAAGTGAGTTAACAATAACATCCACACCTCGTCCATTAGTCGCTGATTTGATTGCGTCGACGAATTCATTGGTATGGCTGGAGAAAATGTGGGAGTCCGGGATGTCGTACTGGCTCATGAGGAACTCCTTCTTCTCCTTGGTGCCAACGGTAGTAAATATCTCCGCGCCGTGAAGTTTTGCAAGCTGAACACAAGCTTGTCCCAATCCACCGGCTCCAGAATGAATCAATACGGTCTCTCCTCTCGTTAATTTCGCCAGGTTGTTGATTGAGAAGTAGGCAGTCGAAAAGCTGATGGGAAGAGCAGCAGCCTCGACAAGCCTAACATTCTCCGGAACAGCTACGGCACACTTGCTATCACATCGAGCAAACGTTGAAAGTGACTCGTCCACAACGGCGCATACCCTATCACCAACATTGAAATCAGTGTCTCTGCCTGTGCGAGATACAATCCCCGCACATTCGATCCCAATTTGGTACTCTGAAACTTGTCCCAGAGCGACGAGAACATCCTTGAAGTTCAATCCACTCGCCTTGACCTCAATTTCAATTTCAGTGTCACCAAGCGGAGCGCTAACACGTTCGTCATCGACAAAATGAAAGCTGTCAAGTGATGCGACCGCTCCCATTGCAAGCTTTAAAGAACGAGAATGCCCTTGCCGGAAGCTTGTTGGCTGGGGTGGCTGCTGATGCTTTTTGGCGGCAAGAAATGTGTTCATATAATTTGCCTCTATCAAACGTGGTACGCAGATGAGTCCATCTCTGACTTGATATTCTAGATCCATATCCTCATTCTCGGGGGAAGTAAGTTTCTTCAAGACTTGCGAGATATAATCGGTTCTGTTTCCTCGTTGCGATTGTGGATCAGGTAAAAGAAGAGACGCAAATTTGAGTTCGGGGAGTTCGTTGGATAATGATCGACGGAAACCATCAATCATCCCTTGAGTCGGATTACTCTCGGGGTTAGCGCTATTATATGAGACCCATAGCAGATGTTTTGCAGAAGAAGTGATCTTTTTTATCCGTCCAAAGTTCTTCTCCGAAATCTCATGTAGGAGAAACTTATGTTGAGTCGGGAGGATGATGCATGTGCTGCCGCGTAAATCCAGAATGTCGACGTCCGAAAGAGGAATGATGTTGGCTCTCAATTGCATTGATTTCAAAACATCATTTTGCAACTCCCGTGCAAAGCAATTTTTGACTGTGGTAATGTCGGAATTGATAAGATATACTTCTCCGGGTTCAGTTTCCATTGGATCCCCTGGCTTCTTCAATGCAGTGGCGAGCATACCAGAAATAGACCGTTCATCGCCCTCGAAGTCTCTAAAGGCACAGTCTATTCCCCCAAACCCGCTATTTAACAGCGACGCATCCCACTGAGTTTCGGGCATCAGTGGACTCCATAATCGATTCGGCTCGGAACTTAACCACCAGCCGGAGAACAATCCGAATATGAACCCAACCCGGATAGAATCTGGCGCAATAAACTCGTAAAGTACCATCTTTCCACCGGGCTTCAGAACCTTGTGCACATTCTTTAAAGTTGTATCAATATTTTGGGTGGCATGAAGGACATTGGACGCAACAACAAGATCATAATGATCTTCTTTCAGCCCCTGTGCCACAGGGTCTTTACTGATATCCAAAACTGAGAAATGGAATCTGTCCTTAAAGTCCTTGAACTTCTCTTGGGCATCTTTGAAGAAACTAGGTGAAATGTCCGTGAATTGGTATTCTGAGAAGCGAGGAGATCCAACTTCATTGTCGCCATGATGAGTAAGAACTTCCATGAGATCCATAGTTCCGCTTCCAGTTCCGGCACCAATTTCGAGAACCTTCAAGTTGGGGTTTTTATGTGAAAGTGCGTCGATGTAGGCGTTGACTTCGCTGAAAGCTTTGTAGGCTGTGCTTGCATGCCGATAATACTCGGACATGGCTTCGTCTTTGAAGAGAAGTTCCATGGAATTGACAGTTCCGTTCAAAATTCCTTGCAAATTCCTGCCAACCCGTGCCATCATTCTACCCTCGGGATCGCATTTTTCGACAGTTACCTCGAGCCAGTTCATAAATGTGCGGTTGTTGGAGAGTTCATGCAGTTGCGATCGGGTAAACCGAGGACCAAGTTTCTCATCTGAAAGCATATGCTTCATCCAAGCAGCGTATTTGGGGTGTACCGAAACATCTTTTTCTAAATCCTGGTTGGCTCTCCAAAAGATCAGTGTGCAGTAGAGAAGTTTCTCGTCGACTTTATGTTCAGATGCCGGACGAAATCTGCCTTTGTCAACCCGCGAAGCACAGTAGGACGAAATTTCAGCGTTTTTAAGGAGATCCAGATCTGGCTTCCATTCCAGGTTATATGCTAGAGGCTTGATAGCAGGCGATGATAAACCGGACTTGGCCGCTGTCACTGAAGTCGCACCAAAAGTCATTGATAGTCGTGGAAGTCCTGACTCTGCATCCAACGCGGTAACAGAAACATCGCAAAAGCGGGGCCCGTTCATTATTGCTTTGCTGTGAGCTTCTATAACATGGGTATTAGGAGCACCGTCGGCAGTAAGTGGTGACATCACATTTCCTTTTGCTGAAAGCCACAACTCATCGAATCTCGTTGGGACCATGGTGGAAATCTTTTTCTTCCCACCATCGCTCAATGCAACAATACCAAGCTGAAGTATGGTGTCCAACGCAGCTGGATGTATAAAGTGAGGCTCGATATCCGTATTTGTTGTGTGTGCCTTCCATTCTTGAAGATCAACGTTGGCCGATGCACCACCATCATTATCGCAGGTGATGCCTCGCATAGTCTGGAAGGTAGGGCCATATTCGAGTCCTGCTTGGGTCAAGTGCTTGTATATTTCCGTCTCTGATATTGCATCTCTGCACTTTTGTCTTTCGAACTTGTGTTTGTCAACAAGTGATGATAACCTGGCGTTCCTCTGTCCATGGCTGGAAACCCCATCATTACGAGTGTCCAAGTATTCAACGGCAATTGAGCCAGTGCAAGCCTCAGAAGACGAATCGTTCTCGTATGTGAACAATCTGAATGTATTCCACAACAAGAACTCTCCATTGCGCTCTCCGGTCGGTGAGAGTTCCAGTTCGGTCTCGACTTTAGCATCGCTTGATTTGAGAACAATCGCGTTCTTCACAAGGACATCTTTGAACCGATACCCCACAATTTGTCTCTCCGCATCTGCGACTTGGCGTGCTGCTTCGAGGGCCATGATGAGCATTCCAGCTGCAGGATATAGACACACACCATTGACTTTGTGATCTTCAACCCACGGATGATCCTCCAAAGAGATAATATTTCTCCATCGGGCATTTTGAGGATTCCAATCAGGAACGGTCGATCCGAGAAGCTCGTGATGGGAATGAAGACGGAACCTAAGATTGCGACTAAGCCGACTCTCAAGCCAGTGAAGTTTAGTATGATTGAATGGATACGCTGGCAGATCTGTCAGCATAGAGACATTCTCCGCGCTCGATCCCTGGCTGTTGATTGTCGCGATATCGACTACGTAGCCAATGCTATGAAGTACACCGGCAAGATCAAGAGATGTGCTGATGGCCGATTTATGACGAGAGAGAACCGAGTTGTACTTTATCTCCTTTCCTCGTTGAGTGTGGCTAAGGATTTCTTTCAGTGGGCCTTGTAGTGCTGAGTGTGGTCCGACCTCGATCAGATGGTCAATTCGCACACTAGCTTTTCCCAGTCGACGACCGCCCATTCCTTTTGCATCCGAACAAATGTTGTTAACTGCGTGAAGAAACAGAACTGGGTGGGTCATATTTTGTACCCAATATGAACTCGAACTGAGCTCGGCAGGAGATATCAAGGTACCGGTGACCGAAGAAAACATGCTGACCTTTTCCGCTAGGGGAGTTCCCGGTTGAAGATCAGTGAGAAATTGCTCGTACTCGGTGGCAACTGCGTTCATGTACTCGGAATGATAAGCAATATCGACCTTTAGCTTTCTGGCGAATATTTCGGTCTTCTGAAATCGAGCGTCAAGCGCATCGATGGCTTGAGCATTACCAGAAAGGGTGACATTCTTGTTGGAGTTGTGGCACGCAATTGTGACTTCGGCGCCACAGATTCCACTTTCCTTCAGAAATTCCTTGGCTTCAGGTTCCGAGAGACCAACAGACATCATGGCCATATTTGCTTTGCCGTGATCCTTGAGACGTCGAGAGACAACACCTCGATAGTAGGCCACTTTCCAGGCGGAGAATCGTGAAAGGCCACCAACGGTGTAAGCAGTAGCGATCTCCCCTGAGCTATGACCAATTACAACAGATGGTAAAATATTCCAGGTCTTCATTAGCTCCACCAAGGCGATCTGCAATGCTGTGCAGATAGGCTGACTCAGTCCGGGTTCTGATAATCGTGAGGTTTGCTGGCTCTGCATCAATTCATCTGTCTTGGTTAGCGAAATTCATCGGAAGCGTAGGGGTGAGATTACCTTTCAAATCCCAAGAACAACCAAAGCTTCGAAAGGCTGTTGATGCTTCCTCAACTATGCCCTTGAATACTGGGTAATCTAGCAATTCGCGACCCATGGCGTACCACTGTGCACCTTGGCCAGTAAAAATGAACCCGAGGGTGGGAGGACGACCAGAGCGAATAGGGGTAGTTAACCCATTATCTAAGCAAGACTGTAGACTCTCTACTGAGTCCGCGACTGCGAATCCTTTCCAAGGGAGGTTGCTTCGTTTCTCCGAGAGCGTGTATGACAGATTAGCGAGAAAGTCAGGGGTGGAGGCGCTAAGCGAACTCCGGATATAATTGGAGTAAACATCCGCTAATCGTTTCACGCCGCTTTCTTCAGCAGCCGACCACACAAAAAGTCTTACCTGTTCAGTTTTGGAGCTTCCAGTTGATCCTGGGATAATCTGAGGTGCCGTGATAAGCTCATCTCTCTTTGGGGGCAATGGAACTGTGCAATGTTTGCCCATAAGTCCACGAGATTTAAGATAATTGTATGCATCATCGAGCACAGCATGCGCATTTGCTCCTCCAAAGCCGAAACTGTAAAGAATATTAACTCCAAGCGTTTTTTTCAAGCTGGACGGACTTTTACTCACCTATTAACACTGGCGCGTCGGAGCCCGTCTGTAGGCCATGGGGTTGGTTCTAGTGGAAACTATATTTCGTCAGTACTGGAATTTTTTGTGCCGTCCAATAATCGATAATCGATATATTATCGATAGTGAATCTCGAGCCAATAGAAACGCGCAGTTCAGTACCATAAATAGAAATTCGATATCGCTTGTTTATCAAATGGGCCCCCGAGTTTGAGCAACATTGCAATGCCACAGAGAAAGCATGTAAAGGAAAATTCGCATACCTTGATATTCCACTTGTCGACGAGGATTTTAGGATTTGGTCGGTCAAAATTAGTATTTGGAGGTATGACGCCTTTCTCCAAAATCATGATTGCTTTGATTAATCCGGCAACGCCCGCCGCACCTTCGCAATGTCCAATGTTGGTTTTCACAGCACCGACATAAAGAGGCTGATCTTTTGTCGAAGACTCTTGAAACGCACTGTGGATAGCTTTTGCTTCGAGGGGGTCTCCCATCGGAGTCTAGTGTCGATTTGGTCAGCCATTGCCAGAGAGTTTGCTTTATCGAATAGAGAATTTTACTTACTCCGGTCCCATGTGCCTCAAAGAATCTTGTCAAAGACATATCCAGGCCCCCAGAAGCATACGTATCGCGAATAAGGACTTGTTGTGCTTGACTCGATGGCTGTGTAATTCCTGGGGTTCGCCCATCTTGGTTTGTACCAGTAGCCCTAATAACCGCTCGGATAGTGTCTCCGTCTCTCAGCGCATCCGAAAGCTTTTTCAGAATCACGATTCCGAAGCCCTCTCCACGAGAATACCCGTTCGCCCGGTGGTCGAAACTGTAACATTTGCTGTCTTTCGAGAGGAAATTGAGGTCAGTCAATTCGGTCATGGAATCCGGGTTGTAGAATAGGTTGCAGCCTCCGACTATTCCCTGTAATACAAGTTAATTGGTGCCGACAGTGGATGAGGGTGCAAGTGGTAGCCTACCATTGTTGAGTCTCCACTTCTTAGACTCTGGCATGCTTGATGGAGTGCATATAGACTGCTTGAGCAAGCCGTATCGATAGCAACGCCTAAATGGTATGATTAGAATTTGCGCAAAAAAAAAGAATTCTGTGTGGCTGCGTGACATACTGGGACCCATCAGATCGAAAAACCAACTTAGCCGATTCGCCAACATAGCAAAAGCTGTACCCGAAGCCTTGTATTTTGCCTTCATTTGTGGATCACGGCATAACATAAACTCATACTCTCGTAAGAATGCCCCAATATGGACTGATGTTTTGGACCCAGCGATTTTTTGGATTGGAACACCAGCTATAGAACCGTCAGTCCACGAGCCTGTGAATACGTGCGAGGTATCTACTAACCGTTTTCTAATGCTTCATAAGAAGTTTCGAGCAACCATCTCTGAAGTGGATCCATAGACTCTGCTTCGGCGGGTGTCGTAGTGAAAAAGGGGGCATCAAAAGCCGCAATATTCTCTTTCACAAAATGGCCACCCCTGGCATTCAGCTTTAACATTGTCAGCATCAATCAAGTACAAGCATGTTGGATTTGAGTAAACATACCAGACCAGTCTTACTACTACCGGCTTTGTAGAAAGCATCAACGTTGAACCTGTCTTTCGGGATATCGGTTGCCGCTGATCGTCCCGCCATCATCATATCCCAAAATCCAGCAGGAGATGTCGCATCTTGCGCAAACCGAAGAGAAACCCCAATTATGGCAATAGCCTCGAGTTTATCTTCTGAATTTTGGGCTTCTGCTGTTGTAGCACCCTTGGGGGCATCGCTACTTGACTGAACGTCATCCATGGGGTCTTCTTGTGGAAGGATGTTATTCCTTCGTCTCGTTCGTTTGGAGGGAAGCTGGTTTTGGTGATCATCTTGATTTGAAATCTGTTCAAACCTTCTTTTATTGACAGGAACGGCAACGGCAAGTGAATTATTATCCTCTGCGCCTCCTGATGTGGTCGGCTGACGAGAATTGGATTGATGAGATTTAGATTCACCACGGGGACGTAAAGTATTTCGAGCCATGCTTGAAAGCAAGTAGAAGAAGAAGAAATGAAAATATTGATAAAAAGAAGGAAACTGCGTGATGAATTCTGATACTTGCTCGAGGATATTCAAAGATATAAATGATTTGCCTCCGGTGACCGAACCGAAGTTCGTTGTACTTTCACTATGTCATCGAACTTGAAGATCCGCAATATGGATTCTAGTGATGGTTTCAGAGACATTCCAAGACATCCCGGTGCCAACAAACCTAACAGAGTAGTACTCAATTGTGGGTCGGCGCCTCGATGTTGCATCCGTTCAAAACGATACTGGTGTAGGAGTAGAAACCAACATAGTGAAGAAGCGCAAGCATTCCCTCCCGCCCCAAAACCTGTACCCCATTCTCCCACAGTTCTTGACCCAGAGGGCCCTTTTGTGCAATAATCCCGGTTGCAACATCATAAGCGACACTAGATGCAGTATCAAGGGTATCCGGCTTTCGGCCTGCCTTGATAAGCGCGATTTGCTCGTTGGAAAGACCGTTGGCCTCGGCGAGGATGCCATGAGAATACTGCATGTATTCGTTGCAGTAAAGAACAGATGTAGTAAGGATTGCCGTCTCCCTGGCAAGTTTGGGAAGACCAGGGAGCGTCGCTAATTGTTGTTGGAGGGCGAAGCTAGTGTTTGCTAGGCTGGGGGTATAGAGTAGGGTTTGCATGGGTCCGAGAAACGCTCCGCTGGGAGTCTTGTAGGCAAATCTTGTGGCACCAACTTTAGCTGGCATTTGAGAGAAGAAAGCGGTGGGACGTTCCTTACTTGCCCTTGTAATGAGTATCCATAACGCCAGAAATGGCATCATAAAGAGGACGTTGCTTCTCATCCAGATTCTCGGGTTCGATCGGCGGTGTTCGCTCCATGTTCTCTTGAGATCACTGGACAATGGTACATCAAAGTGCCCGTGTGTTTTGACAACAGAAATGCGACTGCTCCCTTTTCCGAGAGTTGTAAAGAAATGTACAAAGCAGCTACTGCTAAACTAGTTGATGCAACAGACGCATGTGACGTGTCCAACAAAGGAAGTGCCCTTGGCTGCCTACAGTATCTGCAGGCTGCGTGTGAGTACTCCGTATATGCCATCCAACTGCAACTCACAAATCCCGAAGCCACAAGAGATTGGGTGAATACTGTTTCGGCCCAATAAAAGAGGCCAGACAGTAGGTATCAATAATGGTATCAATAAGGGATTCTCTCTGTTCGTCGGATTCTGATATACTGAGACTCGCAGCCTCCAAAAACATCTCCAATTGGACCCTTGTTCTGGATTCCATGTACCCATACCTTAGACTCAAGGGCCAGAACGTGACCATGGACACATCTGCAGAATGTGCTGAGAACCATGAGTAGTGTTTTCTCAAAAGTCCACGCCATCGTCTCGAAGAGGGAAATCAATATCTACGAAGCACTTCGTTAACCACTCCACAATTATCTTCACCGCCATTCCGGGAAGTCATTTTGCACTGCTATCTCATGGAAAAAACCTAACAAGCCAACGAAGATATGAGTCGTTCTATGGTCCGATTTAACAAGCAGCTAAAGGTAGCGAACCATCCACATAAAAAGTGCCGGCCACAACTAGCCCAGAACTGAGAATGAAAGATTGCTGCCCTATCAGATTTTGGGCGTTAAGGGCGTTGTGTTGAGCCACTTTTCAATACTCGTTGACTTTACATAATGGAGTATAGCCACAGAAGCGCTCATGGCGTATCCACTTCCAAATCGACTTCAAGTGGGAAGGCAGACATGGTTAGAAGAGACTGATGTAATGCTGAAGATGTATTTGAGCAGCGGCCTCACCCTCCTGGTGGCGGCTCGCCCGCCACGGGAACTCCCTTGCTGTCGCAGATCGGTTCCTTCCTACTGTAACCCACTTCAAGAGTGGAAATGCGGGCAGAGCTGCCAGTCAGTCGGGAATTCTGTGCCTCAATTCTGAGTGTTTCCGTGTGCCGAAAAGAACACGCAAGACCACGGAGCCAGAGGGGCAAGTGGGGGCCAGAGTAATATTTTCCCGCATTAGTCCAGAAAAGGGATTTTCTGTTTCAGTTTTATTTTCCAGAAAGCTGCCAGCAGTTGAACCGCTATTGTTTACCGTACCGTAAAAGGGTTTCCAGCCCCGTACGGCTAACGGGTGTTTTTGGCTCTTGTTAAGCAGCTTTTGATGCACGACATCAAGAAAATGACCAGTTCGAGTCAATTCCTATGTCAACATTAGCTTGAACTTAGGGGACGGACCAACGAAAGAAGTATATCTAGTATCATGGGTTATGGTGGGTTTAGTTCAAAAGCTGTGGATCATCAATCTATACCGTTCTACCGGTAACGACACTCGGCGATGTCACTTGAACAAGGCAATGAGAACCATATAAAGTGGATTGCTGAAGAATGACGATGGGGGTACGGACGATTTGCTAATTCTACTTCGACGCACATAAACCATTCGCGCTTCGATACCAATGAGGAACATTAACGAGGCCGTGTAGAAGGTCGAGGGCAGCAGGGAAGTCACCGGAAAAGCCGTTATACTGGTATGGTGGGTATTTGCTACATTGGGTATTTGGTACATTGGTTGCTGCACTGCACTGCCCATGTTGTATAGCCACGAGACAGGCAGGATGTTGATAATGGTCCTGGAAGTATCTCGACGGGTCGCCTGCACTGGAGTTGTCTCTAGTGCCAATCACGTGCTGTGCCCCCCTGTACTCAGAAGCCTTATATAAACGAACGGAGTGAAGGGATTACACGGGGCGCATACAGTGCTTCGTACTCGTTCCACAACAGGGATTCTGTTGTCCAAATCGCCGGGAATTTAACGTCAGAAAATCGGTTTTGGGAAAGACAACTCATGTTGGTTTAGGCTGATACGAAGTAGAAAGTACAAATGGTTAATGGTATCCAAACCTGCACGTCTCTAAAAATTTGGTCTTGGCCTGGGGCGTGTGCCACGTATGCCAGCATGGCACAGGGAGCTACATAAATCCTTTTACATGCATATTCGGTATACTCCGTACCGACATAATTCTTCAACAGCGCGTCCTCTTGGCACTCCCAAAAGGGTGCGATACCTTCCTAAACCATTACATAAATTTGCGGTCTGGAAGTGGTGGCTTTTTAGAGGACTGGTGGGACTGATGTAGATTCCCAGGCAAGCGGCTCATCTATCGGCTCGGTGAGTGTTTGGATCAGCGAGTGGCGGGAAAGTCTACTCGTTCCGACTGCGTATACATGGCGGGATCATTGACCGATAGTTGGCTTGTGTGGTGATTCAAGCTTCGTTGATGCCATGGGGAGCAATTAACGGGGCGGGAAATATCCTCAAACCTCATGGGTGTGGAGGCGTTCCGATATTTTGGAATGCCACTGGTTTCACTTCAGATGAAGATTTCATGGATGGAGGGGAACCGAACAGGGGAGGAAAAGTATTAATTCTCTTCCAACTTCAGGGCCTGCATCAATTATTACATATAAACCGCCCCCTTCCCCATGACCGCTTTCACATTTCATGTAGGACGGGAACCAAACAGGAGAGTAAAAGTATTAATTCTCTTCCAACTTCAGGGCCTGCTTTAACTATTGCATATGAACCGCCTTCTCCATGACGGCTCTCACAGTCTTAACCATAGCATTCAATTCCACTGGCTTTCTCGGGATTTCATGTCCCCCAGGATGAACATATTTCTCCCTCGTGGTCGAATCACAAAATTCATTAACAATTCTCCCACCTTCAGCTAACTCATCAGTGGCCCCCCAAATGATGGCCGCCGGTATGTTTATAGAAATCTCCTCTACATCTGGATCCATATGTTGCAATTCTCCCTCGTCCCCGTCACGGGGCTCCCATCGCCAAATGGGACCGGGACAGATGAAAACCGCACATTTGAATGGCATCTCATGATACAACTGATCTTGGTTCTGAGCTTCGTACTGCGCAATATACGTAGCAGCCAAAGCAGCGCCTTGAGAAAATCCTATGATCCCATCGAAGGGGCCTTCGGACTCGATGTAGTCGGACAGATCAGAGAGCGCATCAAGCAATGAAGGGATCGTTTGCTCGAACCAGGAGAATGTGGTTTCGAGTTGGCCATCAGGACCTTCGATCAAGCTTTCCAAGCCTTGAGGAAATAATTTAGCGGAGATAAAGAAAAGTTGGGGAATGATTTACCTGGATAGGGCTCGTGTTCCAAAAGAGCGTCTGGAAAGTCATACTCGTGATCAGAGCCGAGTTGGTAACGGAGAGCTGCAGTTTGTGTTTCGAAGATCTGGAATCGTGTGAGTCAACTTGACTGTGTTTAAGTTCCGGAAAAACAAAGACAGCATTCTCAAATTGTATAAATGCCCGCCCACTAAACGAAAAGGAAAGTCCAACAGCGTTATAACTTGAGAAAACAAGAGCAATAAACACGTCAACATACCTTGCTATTTGTACCCCTGCCATGAAGACACAGAAACCGCATGTTGATCAAATCTGAAACGATCAAAATAGTACAAGAAGAATGCTTGAGGATGTAGGATGAAAGGTATCACTGGACCTGCAAAGACAACACTAAAGAGGAGATGAGCAGATACGAACAAAAGGCTATTCTATGGGTCTCCAAATCGGGCTTATAAATTACGCTAGCAAGTACAGGCGAGTTTTAGTAAACAAAGCCCAAAGTGAATAATAAAGGTACATTTCCGTAAGCGGTAAAAAATACTCCAAGACAAAGAATTATTATTAATCATTTATCTGCGCCTTGCACACGCGCTTCTATATCGGTGAATTGAAGTATAGCCAAGCAGTGGAACTGTTGGTGGTTTCTGCAACTCGAAACCAATCAACTAGCTGCTGGCAACTTACGATAAAAATAGTCCGTATACTGAGGCAATACTTTCGCAATAGCGTCTTTAAGTGCAGAAGAGAATTGCTCTTGATATCAACTGTATTCTCTCTACTCCCATCATTTGAGCTTTACGGTGGTTGTCAAAAGAGGGAATTGACTTGTCGATCGCCTCCCACCTTTGCAGGCATCCGGCGGGTCATCGAGTCTGCCTAATACCAAGATACGATAACTTCTATACTTTCATAAAGTGTTTCTCTATGCTTTTGAAATTTGCTACGGAGTGCTCTTCTTTTTTATAGTTTGCCAATACTGGTGTTAATCAAATTGACCCAATTCTCAGAGTTTTCACAACTTCATCCATAGTCTTCTAATTCTGAGCTTTTCTATACACTTTGTTTCATTCTATAAATGGCTATTCAAGAAAATTACAGCAAGACAGTCTTGATCACAAGTTTCAATGGCTACATCGCCAGCATCTCAGAGGATTTCCCTCTAGCGATGGAAAGTTCTCTTTGCGGCACAGGACGAAGACCTACCGCGAACAGTACGAAGAACAGCTAGTGTAGAAGCCCCCCTACAGATTGCCTAAACACTATAAAGAGACCGGATTGAGATTTTGCAAGTTCCAGATATGACAGTCATTGAGCCTTCGATGAAGCAGTGAAAGATTTCCGGTTCCTACCAAAAGTCGCTATCACAAATGATAGCCCTTATTGTTACCTCCTCAGCCGTTTTCATTTTGGACCCGAAATATGATCTAGAGTAAAGTCTCACAGAAAAGCAATATAGATTTTTTTTCTTCGAAGAAGCTCAGAAATATAGAGATGCGAGGTGAGAAACTACGGTGTCCTGATTATATGCTACAAGCAAGATCGCTAAGGATTGCTTCATGTGGGAATTCAGAGAGAAACACAAAGTGAGTCTCCCAAGAGACGAGCACAATATGTTTCAATGATTCTTGTTAGCCTTTCTTCGTCATTTACACAATCAAACCAGTTGTCCTCATTGGTCCTCCAGTATTTCTACCAGCCCAGTATTAATCCTCATCGCTTAACGAAACTCTACTTCCAATATGTAGGCTTTCATCCAGAGCAATGATCGCACCAAGTACAAGATCAGGATCCCCTATCGATGTCAGAGACATAGCACAAGAACACGTATGCTTATGAAAAACCATCAATTTCAGATGGAGAGCATAATGTAGCATATGTAGGGAAGGGAGCGCCACAAGCGGCTGGCGATATTTTGAGAGTTGCCAGCAAAGAAATTTCTGTTGGACATCAGATAATTGTTGGATATCCTGGGAATGGATATGTGTGATACGATGAATAAAAGGGTGTTGTGGTCTGTGTGGGTTATCCTTCTGGGCAGGTGTTTTTGAAGGGAGCAAAGCAGAGTGAGTGATGGGATTGAGGTCTATCACATTTCAGCATTGTGCTATTTATACAGCAAAAGCGTTGGAAACCTTGTTGCGAAGTGTCTGGAAAATAGCAAGGAGTGAGTATTGTATCTACTTAGAACCTATAACACAGATCGTCAGGCTTGGGCGGCGATATCGTCACTGCTATAACAAGAAAGTCTCTAATAATCTGTATTGGATCTATACTGTCCGATGAACCAATAACTGAAACATATTGATAACCAATAGGGTAGATTTTGGTACTAATCTATGAATAGAAATACAATATATTGTTATTATCCAAACTGATATCGCTAAATAATATTACGATTCACTGAAGAATTCTGAATTCACTGGAGGTATTTCACCGATCTTTACAAGATCTACGAGTATGGAGTAGAAGAGTTCTATAAATAGTCACTTCCACAATTAGTGAATAGGATATACGCTGCTTGATACGTTACTTGTACTGGCTCATGGTTCCCTAGGCTGTTTGTCAATAGTCCAGCAACAAAATCAACGACTCATCTCCAAAAACAGAATCACCAACAACATGAAAACAAATGGTTAACATAAATATTACATAGACCTTCTCTCAATGAACCACCTAGGTACTATCACGTAGAAAAAAACACGTACTAAAACTGTGTCCATATCTTGTACACAGACCTCGCACGTCCCGCCAGCTAAAGAAATCGGTCACCGTAATCTCACATCCCACCTCAAGTCAACAACACCCTTCCAAGTTACATAGCTCACCACAACCCAACCTCTCACAACACCACACGCCCTCTCCCAGACCCATCCAAAATGGTCCTCTCATTCGTATTGATACAAAATCGCCAGTACGTTCTCCCCTACACCCGCGCTGCTTCCCCAATCCCTCAATCCCCTTCCCCATTCCCGAGACTCGACCTTGGCCCCAAAACAAGGGAGACAGCCACAGCACATCCACCAAGAACATCCCCAGCGCAGAGAAATCCAAACCTAACATTCCCTAGAGGCAAAACCCGTCTAGCAAAATGGTACGCACCCTACAACGACGAAGAGAAAATCAAACTCAAGGGCGAAGTATGCCACCCTCCCCCCCTTCTTCCCCATCCCTTCCCACATCCCCCCATCTCCCATACGAAAAAGAAGCTTACACACACTCAGGTACACCGCCTAATCGCGCCCCGCGACCAAAAGTACCAATCCAACTTCGTCGAGTTCCGACAGAACAAGATCGTCTACCGACGGTACGCAGGCCTCTTCTTCTGCGTCTGCGTCGATGCGAATGACAACGAGCTCGCGTACCTGGAGGCGATCCATTTCTTTGTCGAGGTGCTGGATAGCTTTTTTGGGAATGTGTGTGAATTGGATTTGGTGTTTAATTTTTATAAGGTGCGTTGGAGATGCCGGACGGAGATGGGGAGATTGGCTTGGGAAGAGGAAGAGAAGGGACTATCAGATTATCATCCAGCTCTATCCCCCTTCTCTTCTTGCGCTCTCCACCCTGAACCCTCAACACCAAAATCCCATATCTCGAGAATCACTAACAACCCCACCCAGGTCTACGCAATCCTAGACGAAGTATTCCTCGCCGGCGAAATCGAAGAGACCAGCAAACAGGTCGTCCTCACGCGCCTCGAACACCTCGATAAACTCGAATGATCATTCCCAAACGCTTAAAATACCTTGGTATCCCGCACCACAGTCATCTCACTGAGAGTGGCAAGGGAGAGGAGAGGAAACACAATAATAGACCCTCGACGAGACTAGCTGCTGGAGGAGGATTGTGACAAGATGTGCACCCCTCAATGATACCCCATAAACAACGACAACGGAATTCTACCCGCCATTCTGCGAACTGGAGTAGCCCCAGGGCCATGACTCCACAAAAGAGGATACGGGAAATAGGGAGATATACACCATAATCCATCCATCCGGAGACCAGAATAGAGCACATCTCATAAAGCCAAGCTCGTGGGGCAATCGAGCAAGAGAATAACATCGAGAAGGGGATTTGGGAAACCCAGGGAACGGGAAACAGACGCCCTCCAACGAGATGTCTTGCTGTATGTACATAGATCATGAAGGCGTATGGGGAGTACTAATTCCATCGTTCAATTTCAATTTACAACCCATATGAAGATATGCCGGATACGAAGGGGTTCAATTTCTAAATACTGACCATGCAGATATTTATCTATCCATTCATTCGTTCTACCTCATGAAATCTACCACATATTTAACAAACACCACACCTCCAGGTACGATCCGCTTTAGTTCATAACCATCGCCATCAACCAAGATTATTTGAAAAAATCTCTATTCTCTAACTACTCAATAGCCATCTATCTAGCCGCCCAGCTCCCTTAAATAGTAGATTCACAACGTACACAAATCCATAGCAGGCCCGCCAAGGTATGAAGCATCCCTCATCTCCTGGAATGAAAACACATCTGCCCCTTTTTTTTGATTCGTCTGACGCAGATGACAATCCCAAGGTGCCCATAAACCCCGAGAATAGAGCAAGGAGATAAAGAAAGACAATATGAAGATGAAAGCAATACTTAAACACCCAAAAACGCCATTGACAGAACAGGCAATGGACCCCTCCACCCCGCAATATCTTTTGTATTATGGATGCGATAGCAAGGTACTTTCTCCTCCCTTATAACTCCAGAAATTGAAAGCATATCTTTTGCGAAAGAGAATGCCAAGTCGATGTTGAATCCATTCCACGCGAATAATTTCAGATCATTTTGTTCGTCAAGTCGTAAAGTCGTATCGGCTCGTCGATCAATATATTCGTGTGCATTTCGTTAATGTTGTTCAATTCTGTCGCTCGACACTTTCCATTCCGTTTTTTGCGCCATTCTCCTTAACGTCATGATTTACATTTTGCTCATTGCCCTCCTCCAACTTGTACAACTTGGCAATCTCCTCGGGAACTGGAGTCTCCAACTTGAAAGCGCCCGCAAATTGCTTCAGGTCGGTGAAGGTCTTCTCGCGGCGTTTGGCGTTCTTAGCAGCGGCGATGGCATCCAGATCCTGACGATTGTAGCTACAGGTTGCTTTCTTGATCTGAACCTCCTTGCGAGTTTCCTTCTGTATCCGTGAAAGCTGTTAGCTCCGCATTGATACCGATATTAGAGTGGTGAGTATGTAGTACATACCTCGACGGCGCCATTCATTGTTTCAGCCAGGGGCTCGCTGGTTGCTGGATAGTCAGACATCGTCCGAAGGATCTTTGCTCGTGTGGGGTTCGATAGTTGCAAATTGTCTTGACTTTGACTGCGTATTGGATCTTCCGATTTGCTTTCTTCAATGATCTTTCGGACGGTCGATCGAAATTCGTTTGTGGATCTTGCCTCGGAGAGCGCGGGATCTCGAGAGCTACTTTTTTTGCTGAAAACGGACGAATTATGAATTGATCTTCGACTGTCCCAGCGAGTTGAAGGGGTGGAAAGTTCCGAAGGGCTACGAGGCGTTGAACTTTGGTTGAGTAGCTTCGACTCGTCTAGGTCAGTTGAGGAGTTAGTCTCAGTCCATAAATTTCCGGCTTGCATGCTAAGTGTTTTCGTGTCTGGTAATTTTGGTAGTTCCTTTTCGCGGAAATTAGAGGGCAGACTAGTCACCATGACACGTGGGATATTGGGTGGTCTCTGTGGAAATAAATGTTCATCGTCCTTTGGACAAGGTGAAGGTGGTGTTGGTGATCTTGAAATTAAAGGCTCGGTTTGATTGGTCAATGGACGAGATTTGGAACGCCCTCCAAGTTTTGGGAATTCCTTTGCAGCATCTTTAACTCTACCAAAGGTACTCTTTCCAAGATTACCTAGTTTGTATTTGCGTCGGCGGTTACTTTTCTCGACAGGAATCTCATCGCAAGCTCCATCGAATTGCGCAATCGTACGCTTATTCATTCGGTCTGAAGATTCTCTCGGCGTCTTTCGGCATTGACTTTCTTGCTCCCACATGTCGACAGCGTTTGGTCGTTTTGTGATTGGATTTCTGATTATCTTCATTTCTGGGTACTTGAAAATCAGATTCTCAACAAATTGCGAATATTTGGGAGGTTCCGTTGCCTCTGCAGAAAATATTTGTCCTTCCTCGCAAGAGTCGGAATTATAAGGCGACATTCTGACACTCTTGACGGCTGCGGAATCGACGGGTGGTGTTTTGGGGGTATAGTAGACTGACGCGTTCATTGAATCTGGGCTATTGTTGTCGAGGACCATGTCGTCTGGGTCGCCTCGTGGGTAAGGAGAATAGCCACAAGTTGAATTGCGATCTGCCTTGTCTCCTTCGGGCGTATTGGTTTCCATCATCTTGTGGTATTCACTCTTCTTCAACTTTGGAGATGGAAACTTGATAACAATACGGCGGGTCTCCTCGCGGGTAGCTCGAGGACTGTGGGAAGATTGGCTGTCGTCGTCGAGTTGCAGCTCGTCAGGATTTTGTTGATATACAAGAGGTGGACTGCTACGAGGTGGACCACGTTCAGCCAATATTAATTCCTCCACCTCTCTGTATGTGTCGCTGTCGATCTCTCTATATGGAGTCTCGAGGAAGTTCCGATTCTTTTTCCGAGTAGGTGTTGAATTCTGGGAGTCGCGACTCTTTGCGCTCGTGTCAGACAAGGCTCTCTTTCTCTGATTAGTGAGTGACAGCTTTCCAATACCGGCATAACCAAAGTCAAACACTTCCTCTATCTCTTCTTTGGAAAGTTTGGATCTCATCTCTTCGATTCTCTTCAGTTCGTCCTTCTGCTCTTGCTTTTTGCTTGAAGATGGAGATTGGCTACAACTGCTGTCACCTGATTCGTAAGTTCTCTTGAATGATTCAACATGCTTTCTGTCATTCTCCCTGATCGTGATAAGTTCTTCTACTCTTCGCGGGTCTGTAACTGAGGATTCTGCAACCATTCCTGGCGTGCTGTATCCCACATGTCTCCGTCTCTGGATGATCGAGTATGGATCGCAATTTCTTGGGCAGAGCGACTTGTAGTGGAGACCACTTTCCATACAAATACTGCAGACATAGAAATCATCCGGTGGTTTATCGAACTCTGGGTTCATGTTGGTTGGGCAGCTCTGGAGATGGTGTCCTAGAAACTTGAGGTCAGTATTGTACGACTTAGCTTTCTTATCACGAAAAGCTTTGACGGTTGTCTGTACCAACAAAGCTTCTGATACAAGATGTGCAAAGGCCATGGGAAATTTAACACGAATAGGAGAGGATGGAAGATGCTTACCGCGCTTGTGACAACGATTACAGACATATGAAGGTGGCGGAGGTTGCAAGTATGCCTCCAAAGATGGCTTCTGTTTCGAAGAGAATGGATACATCTTTTTGCTTTCATATGAATCTCCACTTTCTCGACCATGATCATGATAGCGACGTTCGCGACTTTCTTCACGCTCCCGCTCAATTCTAGCCACGCGATCAGAATGCATAGAATGATGATCCTGACGTCTCGGAGCTGGTTCAAGCGTCGCTGGATCCGCACGCTTCCAAGTCATCAAGTCCTCGTCCTTTTTCCTAGGCGGCAGCGCAGGATCATCAAAAGCCTTCTCAATGTCCTTGGTTCTTGGAGGTCGGCGTTCAGTAACGGGAAACGGGCCGTTGTCTTCTTTCCAATCTCGAATCGATCTGATCAGTTCGCCCTCGCGAATGCCGCGTCGGCGAAGCGATTGAGCCCATTGCCAGATCGTGTTCTCCCATGAATTTGTTTTGGATGTGGGTCGGGTTCGATGGACTTCAAGCCAGCGGAGATAGAATTCCATGGTCGTCCGGACGGAAGTGGTGAGGGGAAGTTTGTCGGATACATCCTTCAAGCGCATATTCCAGAGATCGCGATCAGTCAATGCATGAGGGTTCTTGATGACCTCCTCGTGGAAGTGGCCGGAGGAAGACATTGCGGCTAATGAGATCCTGGCGATTCAACCATCAATGCATAGAAACAGAACTGTTTTATTTTCCGTGGTGGAGTAGATGGCGATGGTGGGCGTTGAGCTTGAAGGTGGCGGGTCCTTGGGAAAGTTGCGATTCCGTTTGTTGGAGAAGGAGCAACCCCTCTTGAGGTGAGACAGGCGCCGAGACTGATCAATGGACCAATGCATCAATTGACCAACTCTCCCCCGCCAGAGCTGGATTCAAGTGGCGCGCCAGAGTATAGTATAACAATGACACTCTTTGGTGTCTTGCTGAGGTTGTAGAAAGTTTTAGGAAGGAGCAAAATATTGGACAAGGGCATCAAGCGAGTTCAGGCATTCAGGCAAAGGTTGTGCCTTCCTTTGCAACATGATTCACTCAGCTTGCCCAGATGCATTCACATACCTACAGTACCTAGGTATTACTTAGTAGAAGCCTTCATGATAACTAGGCATTTGTGGCTTAAGAGAACAACTTCTACTTCCTGGCTTCAATTACTGTTGGTCGTTTCGCTTTAGCTTACAGAGTGCATCATATTATTCCCGAAGATTGGAACAATTAAGTCGCAGAACTTCTGTGCTGAAAGTGTGTGTGGTAATTGTAGGTGAGTAGCGACCTCTGTGCAACCAACATCTGAAGTTTGTGCGGTAACATCTGGGCAATTGTTGCAAGTACTCGTGAATGACTCACTTGTATGCAATGCCGTAGCTCTTCAACTCCTATAAATTTCTCAAGCATACACATCATGCTTACAATTTGAAAATTGGGTGACTTACTATATGTTTTCTGTCTCTAAGCTACAACACTATTCGCTTCCAACTCCCTTTTCTCTTCCCCTGCTGGAGCTCCATTAGATCCCGAATGTACTTGCCTCAAAACCTGTTCAATCTCCTTCAGAAACCTCGTAACCTCCTCCTCCGTTCCAACAGTAATCCTCAAGCACCCCATACACCCATGTTCCTTCCCTCGAAACCTCACCACAACCCCTCTGTTCTCAGCCAAGCTTTCGTAAACCTTCAAGGCAGTAACATTATCCGGCTTTCCCTCCTTGTCAAGCATTTCTACAAGCAAGAAGTTACTCGCTGTTCCGCCCTTAAATCTGCCCACGCCTTTTATCTTGGGTAGTTCTGCTAATAAGCGATCCCGTTGAGCAAGTATCCGTGCCAGATTGCCCCTCATAACACTCAACCCACCTCCCTTCAGAGCTAGCGTCGCAATTTCACTAGTGGGATTAGGGATGTTATAAGGAGCCTTCATGTTATTCAACAAAGTTGCAATAGCTGGATCCGTGAATGCGGCACCGAGTCGTATACCCGCAAGACCAAAAGCTTTAGACATCGTCTGCATGACGACCAAGTTTGGCCATTCCAAAGTCCATTCTGCGACTGAGGACCCTGCCGGTGCGAAATCAATATATGCTTCATCCATGACGACAATTCCATTCCAGGTAGGGTGTTCAAGAACCTTCTGCAGATCTTCTTTGCGGACCAAAGAGCCCGTTGGGTTTCCGGGCGAGCAAATGTATATTATTTTTATGCTTGCAGATTCTTCGGAGGAGAGTGTAGAGAGTATCGTTTCGACATCTAGCGCAAAGTCTGGTGCTGGAAGGAGAGGAACCTTGACAAGACCAATATCATTGACTTGTGCTGATACTGAGTACATGCCATATGTGGGTGGACAAACGAGGATCTTGTCTTTTCCCGGTATGCAGAAACATCGCATCAACGCGTCAATTGCCTCATCACTCCCCACACCAACAAACAGACTATCTGGCGTGAGTGTTTTGGTTGTATGGACGTGGTAATTTCTCAATTCGCAGAGCAATTGTTTCAGATCGCGCTGGTGGGGGTCTGGATAGCGGTTCAAGCCTAGGAAGTCGATTGAGGGATCGTTCTCAGATTTGGAAGGTAAAGAGGAGCCATTGAGGTCTAAGGAAGGGCCGAAAGCATTTTCGTTGGCGTCAAGGAGGATGTTTGTCCCATCGTCTTTGTAGTCACTGTATTCGTGAGTCAACTAATGGAGCTTTGAGATGGGAATGGTGGGGTTTCCTCACTCTCTTGCACATCGATATGGTTGTAATTGAAGGATATTTGAGCGAGCACATTTCTGTAGATCAAAAGGGGAGCTTTTTGGTGACATGATTTAGTTCCAATTGCTATTGCAAAAGAGATGGAAATGATGTTGGTAACAACTGGGTGAAGGTTGTTTGTTATATTATGGAGGGGCAAGGCTCAAGGCCCGACCTCGGAGGGCGATCCTTGGCGACGGCAAGGCTGAAAGTGAACCTTGAAGCTTCAGTCAACATCAATACCAACCTTCAACAAACAACACTAAAAGATTCGCCAACAAAAGCCGGCGCCCTACAACCGACTTTAGTCTCGTATCTCATATTTTCAACCCCATATCCCATCTCGCATATCTCACAATCTAAACCAAACCCCTCCATACCCATCAAAATGACCTCCAAAAAAGGCGCCTACGAAACCACCGCCTCAGACACCGACTTCCGCAAAAAATACGACCGCGCAGAATACGCCCAAAAAGCCGCCGACCGGGAAGCCACCGAAAAAGCCGAATCCAAAGCCCGCTACGAAGCGAAACTCGCAGGAAAGAAATACTACGCGCCTCTCACCGGCGAAGAGACCCTCACGCAAGCGCGCGCCAGCCGGTTGGACGTTTCGCAGAATGTCGGAAAGGTGTTGCTCATGCCGGCGGGCGCGGCGACGGGGAAACGGGGTAGAGGAGCGGGCTTCTATTGTGCGGACTGTGATTTGACGTTCAAGGATAATTTGCAGTGGGTGGAGCATGAGAATAGTATGCAGCATCTGAGGGCGATTGGGCAGACGGGGGAGGTGAAGAGGGCGACGGTGGAGGATGTGAGGGCGAGGATTGAGGAGGTGTGGGTGAGGATGGAGGAGGAGAGGAGGGCGGATGTGAAGAGTTTGAGTGAAAGGTTGGAGGTTAGGAAGATGGAGGAGGAGAAGGATAGGGAGGAGCGGAGACGGAAGAGGAGGGAGTTGGTGGAGAGGCAGAGAGCGAAGAAGGAGGAGGAGGTTAAGGTTAAGAAGGAGTATGGGGAGGATGTTAGAGTTGAGGGGGAGCATGATGAAGATGATATGATGGCTAATATGGGGATTGTTGGGTTTGGGTCTTCAAAAAAGTAACGGGAAGAGAATCTAGGAATTGATCGATTTAGCGACGGCGTTCAGGTAGGTGATAGCATCAGGGTATATCAAAATCATTTCAAGGCATACTAATGAAGATTGAGTCTTGACCTTGTGCTCTCGTTGATTAAAAGTGCTGGGAGATGAAGCCACCAATGCTCCTTGCGTTAATTGAGTAACGTCCCTGAATAACTCTCGAAATTGTGATATTTTGGTCTGACATCTCAACGAGTGAAAATCGTTAAGCGATCGGTATACTATGTAGGATTTTGGGCTCCAAGTAATAGCCTATAGAAATCAGTCTCAGGTATCAAAGCAAAATCAATAACAATAGCCATGATATCTTAGCCAGGTCTGTTTCCTCGCATAAGAATATCTTTCCCAGAAATAACAACAACTCTCAGTGCAAGTATAGAAAACAATCTATTGGATCTAAAACCACGGAAACAGTGAACGTCTTCGACCGACAAACTGTTTATTTTGACAGGAGTTATACTATTATTCAAACTCCCAAGTAAGAAAAAGAAAAACCCCCAAACCCTCATAGCCCAACCGAAGGATTCCCAATTCCGAACTCCAGCGCTAATAAAGAAGCTAGGGAAATGTATCGCCCACATTCATGGCGGAGGCCAACAATTTTGCAGCGGGGGCTTCTTGCAAATCGTTGTAACCAGAATCTCGTAATCGATCCGCGATTTTATCCCTTTCCCTGCTCAGAAAATTCGACGTGCTTCTTCAACCTTCCCATAACAGACACATTCCCAGATCCTGCATCTTTTGTCTGGACATGAATGTGATTTTCGGAACGCTCACCACAGGCCCTCGTACGATATCTCCATCAGAAGAAGTAGCATCATCTTGATGACCATCCTCTACTCCTACATTCCCTACCCCTCCCTCTCCAACTTCATCAGAATCACTTCCATTCTCGCTCTCAGCAAGAAGGCCCATCCGCACGTGTCTCCAGCAGCTCTCAAGCCAATTCACGATCCGATCCTCATACGCTCTCCCAGCAAACATAAGATCACCCTCCTCCCCCTGCTCAAAACTCAAAGTCTCCAGATTCTCAAAAAGAAGAAGACAACTTGCACTATCCCGTTTCATGCCCATGAAGCTAAACCATAAAGCGATCTTCCCTCCAATACCCAGGAAGCGAGTTTCCTTCATGGTCTGTAGGTCCTCTCGGGACCAGATAAAGTATTTGAATGCAGTAAGAGTGTTGCAGCTGTCAAGATGAAGGGTATCTCGAGTGGCATCAAAGTAAATTGGGTAGATGAAGTTGTCTTCGAAACACAGTATGTAGTGTCTTAGTGCTCGTTCACGAGATTCTGAATTGACGAGGAGGAGGGAAGGGAAATCGTAGATGGCGTGGCATTTTTCAACTAGGCGGGTGACTGTTCCGTAAGTCCCTTCTTTCTCGGTTGGGGATCCGGCAATCGTCTCTTCGTCGTGGACAAGTGTGATGGTTATTACCTGGGGACCTGGTAGTGCCAAATCCCAAATCTGTTCACGGAGCTCTTTAGGGAGGTTGTTGAAGAGGGGAAATGTGAGGGGAGTTTTAGACACTGAAAGAGTTTTAACGATATCTGGGTCCCAGAATTCTAGTGACCATTCTGGCCTAGACATTTGGTCTTCAACCCAATTCGCTGTCATCTTGTGGAATTTGAGCTTGAGTCGTATTGTGGAAACTCGGTAACAGGATCCACAATGCCGCCAACGTGGTAGAAGTAGAATTATAATATGGGTGCTAGCATTTACTGATCATGTAGACTGAAGCTTTGAGGAGGATTTGTCGACTTGGAAGCGAAGGATGAGCAAAGAGAAATATTGAAGTGCTCGTATACCTCAGCAGATATAGGAGGCCTTGGTGAAATTCGTTGTTCTTCAGCTGCCCAAACTTATCGTCTGATACTGATGATGATCCGATAGGGAAGGGAATGATCTGATGGAAGGAGCCGCAGACAAGATAGACATGCTCATGTACAGCAACCCAGATGTAGATGAGATAGCAATTGAAGCAATCGAGGCACAGAGTAAGAGGTCAGAATGGGCTTGCGCCTCAACTTCGAACCCCTAAGGTTAAGGTTGTTGAGTTTCGTCTGTGAAATGTTGTATGTTGCGAGGTGTCGTCGCGTCGTATTCGGTAATGGCTAGTACCTAGTACTGTACAACCTTTGCTGACCGGCGGCTCATTTTCTCTCAGGATTTCCGAACCATGATATTCACCAAGATATACCGATTATGCCGTGACGTGAGGTATGGCTATTCACTTTGTTCGAGTTGCTGTTGTTGAAATGGTCGATGTCGCCCTTGAGATACTTGGGGCGCTTGGGCTGACAGTCCTCGGCGTAATGTCGGCACAACTATTTCAGGGCGCAAAGCGATGACGGCTCCCTGGCAGAAAATAGCTACCCCACTTCAAATTGGAGGGGCATAAATTTACCTGGTACGAGTTCCTACGTATCCCATTCCCTCAACAACACTACCAATTACCAAAATGTTACATCTAGTAGGCCTCGGATTATCCGATGAAACAGACATCACCGTTAAAGGCCTAGAAACAGTCAAGAAGGCAGCGCGAGTCTACCTCGAAGCCTATACCAGCATCCTCCTCGTCGACAAATCCGTGCTCGTAAGTCCTTTTCCACATCGACAAAAAAATAACCAAGAAAACTGACCAAACTGATACGCAGTAGGAGAAATACTATGGCCGGGAAGTAATCCTCGCCGATCGGGAGATGGTCGAATCCTCGAGCGATGAGATCCTCCGCGATGCCCAAACCCTTGATATCGCATTCCTCGTGGTGGGAGATCCATTTGGGTATTTACTTCCCTCTCCTTCCACTTCCTTTCAACACCTTTAATCAAATGCTACTGCAGAGCAACAACACACACCGACCTCGTCCTCCGCGCCCGCGAACTCTCCATCCCCATCCGTACAATCCCCAACGCCTCCATCGTTTCCGCAATAGGCAGCACGGGGCTGCAACTCTACAACTTCGGACAAACCGTATCCATGGTCTTCTTCACAGATTCCTGGAAGCCCGCCTCCTTCCACGACCGGATCCGAGAAAACCGCACCATCGGTCTGCATACCCTCGTCCTTCTCGATATCAAAGTCAAAGAACAGTCTTTGGAGAACTTGGCGCGAGGAATTCGTATCTATGAGGAGGCGAGGTACATGACGGTCGGCCAGTGTTGTCAGCAGATGCTGGAGATTGAGGAGATTAAGAGGGCGGAGGGGGAGGGGATGGAGGGGGTTTATTCGGGGGAGAGTTTAGCTGTGGGTGTTGCACGGGTGGGAGGGAAGGATGAGAAGTTTGTTAGTGGGACGCTGGAGCAGCTTTGTGAGGTTGATGAGGTTCTTGGAGGACCGTTGCATAGTTTGGTACTGTTGGGGAGAAGAACGCATGAGTTGGAGAGTGATTACGTGAGAGAGTTTGCGGTGGATAAGGAGTTGTGGGATACGATTTGGAAAAGGGATTATGAGGGGAAGCAATAGACTTGTTTCTTGATTCAATTTAATGATACCATTTGTCTTCTCTATTTTTATCTTGGAAAGCGCCTATAGAAAATCTGCATATTTCACCCATCACGAGCTGTTGAGGGATGGCTAGATATTGCTTCAGGTCCCTGTCAAAGTTTCGCCTTCAGTACAGTATTTGCAGCAGTTCTTTTAATAGTCAGTGCGTCTTTCTACTGCATATCTGTAGTCCTCGAACAATTGATCAACAGATCTCATAACTTTCAAGATCATGAATTATGTTTCAATTATAGATTTATTTTTATTTCTGGCAAATTTACCCCTAGCACCAATCCCTATGTGTATCTTCCATTTTCCCACCCCTAGAGAACTCCGTAAAAAAACAAAGCCCCAATTACATTTTATATACCATTTTTCACTCCAATGCTCAATACCCATCAACCAGCGCCCCATTCTTCCTCGAAGACTTCCTTCCAAAGAAGCTCTTGAAACCACTCGATCTAGTCGTGGGAACAACCATCTCCTCTTCACTCTCCTCACTAATACTCTCCTCCCTCTCACTCTCAAAACTCCTCTCCTCATCCCCACAAACCACAACGAACCATCCAAGCTCCCCTCCCTGCTGCAACCCATCCCTCAAGTTCTCAATCCACCCAAGCTGTCTACTTTTCTTCCTCACTTCTCTCGGACTCAGGCCCGTATCCCCATTGACGCGGATCGCCTCCGCGCGCCTCATGGCTTCGTATTTATTCACCTCTTCTGCGATGCTCACTCCGAGATCGATGCGCACCATGTAGTCGCCGACGTAGGCATGTGGAGCGGAATTGAAGGATAGATCGGAGGGGTTGTATTCTTCGAGCAGTTTTACGGAGGACCATGTGTTAAAGGGGACTTCTGTTTTTCGGTGCAGGGTGGAGGTGGAGAGACTGAGTGAGGTTGTCGAGTTGGAGGTCGAGGAGCGGGAGCGTGGGGGGGATTGTGGGATTTTGTTGTTGTTACTTCCGCTGCTTGATTGTGAGAGTTTTCGAACGTGGTCTATGGCTTTTGCTGATCGGAAGGAGAGGGAGGAGTGTGAGCGGGTGTGAGGTCTGGAGAGGAATCGCGGGGTTGTAGGAATGGGTTCGTCGCTTTTGGGTGATTCTACAGGAGGATATGTGCCGGTTGGGGGACTGCTAGGTGGGAGGAAGTCGTAGAGTGAGTAAAAGGAATTGAGGAGTTCGACGGAGGTTGCGGGTGCGACGATCCATTCGGATGCTGCGTCTTCAAGGTCGTTTTGTATGATGTGGATGCGGATTGCGTAACGGTTCCAGCGGAAGCCGTGGACGAGGTAGGTCGGCATTGTGAGATGGATCTCGAGTCGCAAATGTTTTATGATAGCTCAGCAATATGAATTTATATCTCTAAAAATCAGAGTTTCCCAGCTTGACTTCGGCTGGAAGTATATATATTCTCTGGAAAGAATTGAACCCGATCCTCCCAACGATGAGGTTATCGCATACAGGCTGAGTTGGCAGCGAATGGAAGCACGTGTAGGATAAATTGCTACTGTTGGTTTGCAACGAGTCTGAGGGTTGGAAGTAACCTTCTGGATGTATGGAGAAGGTGTGACAGGCCGTGTGTTGCGTGATGTGATCTAGATGCAGTGCGTAGGTTTGGTGCGATCAAACAATTGGAAAAGGGAAGAGTAGGACGGCAGAGACAAGGCGATCGGGAAGAGGAGAAAGGGCGTTGAGGTTTATATTTCCGAGCTGGCGCTTCCAGGTGTTCATGTTGTTTCCTTGGGTTGCAGCTGTGCTTTCCTCCAATCGTGGCGGGCGCATGTACGTGAAAGTTGGTGCTGCAAGGGAGAAAGCTCTTCTCCGCGTCAGCTCTCTGCCCTCTGCCCTGCTCCCGTCATTTGCCCACATCCGTACGCAGAACGAGATCTGTCAGAAACATCAATGGTGTCAATGATGGATAAAAATTCATTAACAAGCTTGAGCAGACGCAAGGGCGCACCACCAATATGGAAGATGATCACCACCGCAGCTGCATCATGGTTGCGTGCGGGTGCCGGTGCTGAGATCGTGGGAATGAGATCGTGGGAAGTGGTGTGGGGTCTGCCATGAATCCCAACCGGAGGGACCGTTCTCCCTGGGATTGGGTACTCGTACTCCGTGCATCGAGCGTATATCCAGGAGACTTCAAGAGGACAATGCGTCGATGGCCGCCTTGCAAGGTGAGAGATGTATTCTCGAATGAGGTTGTTTGCTCCCAAAGCAATGGGTACTGAGTACAAAATTTACAAGTAGTACTTGTCCTCCCGCTACCAAGTAAACAAACCGTCGGCAGCCTGTGTTCTGTTTGACAAGATCTTTCTCCTCTCCTTCTATCGCACAAAGGCGTGTACAATGAGCCCAAGCTCCTGTACTCTCTGCCCTACACATCGTATACTTCGTTCCAGGCGTATTGATTGCAACCTTCCCAGGGAAGCTCCAATGGAGAACAGGGTAAAACTCTCGGTAAAGTTGCAATTATTAAAGTACTCCAGCAGACCTGGGACGAAGAAAAAGGCTCCATCGGGAAATGATCACAGATCGCAGTTTATGAAAACAGTAATATTATGGAAGAACAAACGTCGCCAGCCTAGGCAATTATACAAGGCCTTCGGAACCCGGCCGCGAGGTTTCAATCACAATGAGATTTCCCGGATGCCACGGGATCGTCCCGAACCCGTAAAAGTATCGTGTTCAAGGGGATCTTCCTGGGATGTCTTGGTACCAAGACACATCTAGACTGCGTTGCTTGCTCTCATGTCATAGGGGAGAAAGTAGGAATTAAATTTACTTGATAGAAGCATTGGCGTCGGAGGTATATGTTATACATCTATAGGGAAAATGTGATAAGAGAAGGATTCACGGCTAACTACCGCTTAAGCGAGGTAAATTTTCGAGATATCAACGTATGTAAGTGGAGACTGATGGTGAGTTGGAAACAAGGGAAAGCCTTTGAGCCAATATTTCGGGAATAGTCAATGTATGAATATAAACATATCTCCTCAGGGGCAAAATAAACGAACAATCTCAGTGGGAATTCTACCCTGTGTTCCACTAAAATATTCCATGTGAACCTTGTTACTTTCACGTTTGTTTTGCCCTGGAGGGGGTTTTAACGCGGAGGAATATATTAGGTTTGGGAATAGTCATTTGTCCGCTGACTGAATGCTTATTGCTCCCCATTGCAGTGAAAGTGGAGATGAGCTGAGGAATGAATTTCTGTTCAACTTCGGCGTTCATCACAGTTTAGCTTTCACCTTTCCTTCATCTCTCAAAACCTTCTCCACAGCCTCAACCCCTGCTCTCGCAACGACTTCATCTTGCGCAGGTGTGCCCTATTCCCACAATGAGTAAATCTCATACTCTCTCAAGCTAGATGAGAGTCCGATAAGAAATATAAAAACATACCGTACTAACACCCACCGCGCCCACAACCCGCCCTTCCCCATCCACCACCGGCAAACCCCCACCAATGGTCACAAACCGGCCCCCATTGCTCGTCCCCAACCCAAAAGCTGGACCACCAGGCCAAACAGCTTCTTTATACATATGAGTTCCTATTCTGTGGCCAGCAGCCGTAAAAGCTTTGTCGATTGCTATGTTTATGGATGTGATTTTGGCATTGGGCATCCGGGAGAAAGCGACGAGGTGGGTGGAAGCGTCTACTATGGCTATGTTCATGTCGATTCCTAAACTCGTGGCTTTGGCTTCGCTGGCTGCGAGTGCGATGCGGGCGCCTTTGAGGCTGAGTTGAGGGGGAGATCTTGTGGTCATGATTGGGTTTTTGGATTGTAGTTTTGATGTTCTTTGGGCGGTGGTGAGGTTATTTGGTGAAGCCATGGCAGCATGGTTGGCGGGAAGTGTCGAATTCGGAGTTTGCTTCATGTGGTTATCTCCGAATCGGAGATATTAATCGGCATTTGAAATTCACTACATGTAGAACTAGTCACTTCTGCACTGACTGGAGTGGTATTATAATTGGATAATTCAACAACTGATGATACCAGAGAGATTCTCGTTCCCCATTAGCTTGGCCAGAGGTTTGTCAGCTCTCCGATGTCATACTTCCCCTCATTTCAAAACCAGCACAATAAATTACTGCTCAGCGCCTTACAAGTGGAGAAAGAATCCTATTCTACAAAACTAGGCACTAGGAAACCTGAGCTTTCTAATTATCACTAAAAGTACGTACAACAAACACGTTACTATCACACTCTACGACTAACAACCTAATTCTGGCTGCTCTCCTGGCTCTCAACCATGGACTCCTCAATCACCCCTTTCAAAATCTCCATCTCAGATGCAGAAATCTCCTCTCTCAAGTCCAAACTCTCCGCCTCAACCTTCCCAGATGAGGTGGATTTCTCCAATAACTGGGACTATGGCACCCCTCTCAACGACATGAAACGTCTCGCTAAGTACTGGCGGGATGGATTCGACTGGCGTGCCCACGAGAAAGTATTGAACCAAATGCCTCAATTCACGACCAAAATTGAGGTCGATGGATTTGGAGAACTCGATATACATTTCGTGCATCAGAAGGGTGAGGAAGGGAGTATACCCTTGTTGTTTTGCCATGGTTGTGAGTTTTCCTTTTTGAAAATGGAAATGGTTTCTTCGAGGCTAACATTATTTCCCGTCAGGGCCGGGGAGTTTCATCGAAGTGAAGAAGATGATTTCCTTGCTCACCAAAAGTGGAAATGGGCAATCTTTCCATGTTGTTGCCCCTTCACTTCCTGGCTTCGGATTCTCAGATGCACCAAAGAAAGCTGGGTTTGGAGTTCCGCAGTATGCTGAAGCAATCCATAAGCTCATGTTGAAGCTTGGATATAATAAATATGGTTAGTCTCTCTATGACAAAAGTTTGATATCGTTGTATCTTACCGACTTCTGACAAAAGGCAGTTTCCCAGGGCGGTGATTGGGGCTGGGCAATAACTAGAACTCTCGGCGTCAGGTATCCAACTCATTGCGTCGCATCGCATGTCAATTTCGTACTAATCGGTCCCACTCAACTCGACGAAGTCCTCAAAAACATGTCCCAACCTCTTACTCCACAAGAAGAAGAGGGCCTAGCAAGGACACGCTGGTTCTTCACAGAAGGCGTCGGATACAACACCCTCCAATGCACACGTCCCAACACCCTAGCCTTCGCACTCCGAGACTCCCCAATCGCACTCCTATCCTGGATCTACGAAAAGCTTCACGACTGGACAGATTCCTATCCATGGACGGACGATGAAATCCTCACCTGGATCTCCATCTACCAGTTCTCCAAGGCTGGTCCGGGGGCTAGTGTCATGATCTACTACCACTCGACACATCTTTATCAAGAGGAACGGAAGAAGCTTTCTGGTTACGTTGAATGCGTCAAGCTTGGTTTGAGTTATTTCCCTAAGGATTTGTGTGTGCCTCCTTCTGTTTATGGACGGGGGCTGGGTGAGGTGGTGTTTGAGAAGAGACATGAGGATGGTGGTCATTTTGCGGCTTATGAGAGGCCTGAGCTTTTGGCTGGGGATTTGAAGGAGATGTTTAGAGCTGATGGTGGTGTTGGGAATTTGTTGAGTAAGATTTAGTTTGAGCTTTTAGCGGTGAATTTTGGATTTTTCGCTTGGAGATGTCTTCTTGAGTGGCTAGGCAAGGTTATTACTCTGCACATACTGCAAAAATTGGTTGTAATTCTAGGTGTGTATAGAGTAATGCCCACGTCTTCTCCTTAGTCTTTGGTATCTAAATCTATATCCAACAGATTTAGTTATTTATCTTGAAAACAAATCTTGAAAACAAAATGAACAAGAGAGAACATCAATGCTTAAAAAGACTACACACTTATTAAGCGACCTTTAAAAACAAGAATACAGCACCACTAAAACACTCCAGACGCCTACGCTCATCAAATATTACAATCCTATTATTTGTGAGTAAATAATCCTAGTTTCGTTGTTTAGAACTCGGCAACTGGAATTCCATTCTATTCTTTACCCCCTATACTATGAAAGTTCTATAGAACCGAATTACACGACCTAGAAAAGGTCCGTCCGCTCCGTTAAGAATAGGAAGCCTAGAATCTGCCGGGTTCGTACGTATTAAGAATATTACTAGTATATTAACACTATAAATAAACTATCGCTGTGTCGTCGTATCGCCTTTTCACCTCTACATGAGTTATTCTATACTACTTTAAAATGGCTAGAGATTATCTTATAATTCCTGTTATATTAGTATTTTCTGGGCGTCTTTTATCTACAGCAATAGGTAATAGAGGCCGGGTTATTATAAAATATAGATATAGTTCAAGTGGCGAGTTCAGGTTATCTTAGTATATGTCTATTCTTAATTAGTATTCACTCCTCTTAAATATTGCTCTCTGATTGGTTAAAATGGGGCCTCTGGAGTTCTATTATCTATGGAATTATAGAGGCTATTTAACGGAATTTTTTAAAGATGCTCTAGAATTATTCCAAATGGAATAGAATTGCTGGAATTTTGGAGAATAGTTTATATTTGCCGAGCGCTGTCGCTGCTGATTAAGCATCTATTATACTACCTAATAAGCGTCATTATGTTAGTGCTCCTTGGTACTAGTAGCGTTTCCTCAAAACTTGACTTGATAAGATAATCTCTTTGTTAGATAAATTTACTTCTTTGTTGGCGAACGAATTCGGCTCGACGCGACACAAGCGCAATATCTGCTGGACTTCGTGAACAATAACACAAAGAAGTTTTTCAGGGTAAGCTTTCGTTCTCGAAATCCGTTCATTAAATCATTAGCTTTTCTCCCAGTCACCTTGCGGTCGAATCCGACAAAATGTCCAATAGTGATTCCGACGACGATTCAATCGTCGATATAGCCACAGGGAAAATGCCATTAAATTCTCCTGGTGGAAGTCCAAGCAAGGCTGGCCCGAGCAACACCCAACCTGTCACAGCTTCTCTACCTAATTTATTATAAAATCCAGATCCTCGTCTTACTCCTGCTCAAATCTCACCACCAGGAACACCACCACGCGCGCCCTCGCCACCACAATTAACACCGTTTGCGAAGAAATATGGAACACGTAACACGCAGGACGACACTTGGGACGACTATTTCACCCAGCTGGGAAAATCAGGTGCCTTTTAACCCACAACCTCCCAATTCCGGAGCTAAATCTTTCTTCTCTAGCACTCACACCCGTGGAAGCCAAATCAATACTTCCAAAAAAGACTCTGCCCCCCAATCCCTCCTTAGGGGGATTGATATCACAGACCTACAAATATATGGTATTCTGCATGGATTTACAGCTACCCAACTAGAATCACTGGGCTCTTTTCCTGATCTGAATGCTAAGAAAAGCACACTTTCAAATCCAATACAGCAAGTCACATCATTCGGGTTCTTTATTAATGAAACTAATGTTTCGTAGTCCCATCTTCCAAATAGACAATTGGGAGCACACCTCCAAGCCACTAGATGTACCTACCAGAGTTCTTTCACGTATAGATTTGAAGGAGGATTGTTACGGGCTAGATCCTAATAGAACCCACGGATACTGGCAGATGCAGAATGACCTGATTCGAAAAGCTATGGAACCAGTTTTAAGGCATGTCTCGCGGTATATGTCCAATCTGAAAACGTCAAAATGGGTTAGTGTTTTCCTCTGCAGGCCAGCGACCGCAATTTCGGAAGGCTAATTCGAGCTTTCCATGTAGATAGACACGCTCCTGCTGGCCACGCCAGAAATACTGGACTCCAACCTCGACATGCGGTCGGCCGCAGAAAAACTGGCCAAACCAGACCGGTTTCGAACCATCGTGGATCGCCAACCAGCCAGTATAAGGCCAGGAGAACTCGAGTATGAGTTGGATAAGTATTTAGTTGATATGGAGAAACGAGTACGATTTGGTTTTGGGTCTTGCTTGAATAAGTCCAGGGAAAACCTCCCACTAGGCCCCAACTCCCCTAAGAAAAACGCGCCTTTCGCTGGTGTGACTTTCGCAACGATCTCCAGGATTTGGGGTAATGCTATAAATATTATTATCGCGACTGAATTGGTGACGCCTTTGCTCCGAAACGACTTCAGTACTTCCGAGAGATTGGCCGAAGAGTTTAATGTTTCGGCCACAATACTCCACGAGATTGCTGTAAGACTTGAGCTTCCGTTTCCTAAATATTTCTCCACTGTACCACACCATTAGTCATTGTACATTTCCACGCGGGTTGGGGATCATAGTGGTTGTTCTAGTAAATTCCTCTTGGCTAACGATTCGCTTAGCATGCTCTATATCTAGATTGGCAACTCAGAATGTATGAGAAAGGAATGCCTGGTGAGACCTGGGCTCTTCCAGAGCCTTATGTTAACGGCGAAATCTTGTCCGAGTTGGGTTATTCATGGACAAATGCACTCTTCGATGGTGATATGATTCCCTTCCGGGGAAGAACGATGTGGAAAGACGCACGTCCTAATCTCGGTTTATTTGCATTCAAGCCTCCAGGGCGAAAGGACAAATTAGGACACGACACCCCCATCGCTGGTGGGATTCTCCCAAAGACGGACTACTATTCGCCTGTACCGTCGACGCACTATGAAAAGGTGGCTCGTGATAACTTTTGGGATTTTGGGGCCCGGAAATGGGGGCTGGATATTGTGAAGCCCTGGTTTGTTGCGCATAGTGAAATTTGGGATAAGCCGAATGCAACGGCAGGTGACACTTACCTTTACAAAATTGTCATCAACGCGGACCGGATGGCAGGCGCCAACGCTGAAAATGCCTACTTTGGAAGGCCTAACTTTTCATATCAAGGACTTCTACAACTCACTCCTCCAGAACGAGTGTTATACGCACAGGCCAAGAAGGATCTGCGCCGTCGGCAAGCGCTTAACAGACGAGAAAAGTTCCGAGCTAAGCGTGTTGATCAGGCCCAGCACGTCCAGGCCGCAAGAGATCGTTGGGAACTTGCATTCAGTGGTAATCTGGCTGAGGAGACTGCAAAACAAGCACAGCAAGTAGCACCCCTGGATTATCTCGAGCAATTGATGTTCGAAGCAGATGATCATATTCAAGAAACACTCGCTTACCGACGGGAGCCCACCCGCGATGACAAACACGCATACTTCCTCCTCAGACTTAATCGTCATCTTCGTGGGATATTTCTGAAATACACCAAGGTGATGCAAGAACACAAGGTCAACCCTTCAGCGACAGATTCTATTGAGGCGGATTTGACGAATATGCTTAGCGTTACTGCATTACTGTTACACAACCGAATCGATGTATCTGCCGATATCACGAAGTTAGATATGGATCCTGCGCGTCTTAAGATAGAAGCCGATATGCTCTCAGCCTTTTACGACCCGAAAGATCGTAAGCTCGAGCAAGCAGAGATCAAGGGTGTCTTAGAACTCTGCGAGGTCTCTATTAAAGGAAAGGACTGGGCTCGTTGTCATACCCTGGGACTGTTTTGGATAGGTTGTTATGCCGGTCACCCTACATTGCCGTACATAGGAAGAGTAGTCCTTTCGTATAACGAGAGGTTGCCCCGCAGGTGGGAGCATTTCTATCACGGGATGAGGAACCTGTTGGATGACAGCGAGATTCAGGATCATGACGATGAGTTATTAAGGGATAAGTGGATTGACATTGGGAAGCCACAGAAGAAGGTATTTGATGCTTATCCGCAAGCAATGAAGTATTTTGGAGACGTTGCGGAGTGTGATAAGAATAAAGGGGAAATGTATATAGATCCTGCTGAGCATTGCGCGGTTCAATAAGTTCGTATTTACCTTGTCTTCTGGTCATAAGTAGATTATATTATTATAGCAATTTATCTGTATTAGTATGGTTTACTCTACGATAGGAGACGGTAAACCTAACCTCTTCCATGGTCTGGCTCCCGGTGGGCAAGAAAAGTAGCGGAGATTCATTTTTAACTATTAGCGTAAGTTAATTCTAAGTACTAAAATGATTTAGATATCTAGACCAATTGCCTTTATTGTGCCATCGTTTTAGATAAATCATTTCAATTGTTCTAAATAAATAATATAATATAATGGTTCTTAATTAAGTTAGGATAAGATAAAAGATGTCTCTGCCACTTTTCTTGTCCACCGGGAGCCTGGCACTTTAGAGTTAATCGCCCCACGTACTCGGTTTTGGGCGCCACTCAAAATCGGGCACCGAGTTTCTTTACTAGTTCCATACAGGTAATGAAATTCCTTCTATTCACGTATTCGCACAGAGAATATGAATAAGGTCTATTCGTAACGCAGTAGTACTCGAGTAAGTCGATTTACAGGAAGGGTTGGAGTATTGTCGGACATGGGTTGGAAAAGATCCAAGAGAAAACGGAAGATTTTACGACCGTGGTAAATCTTCTTTTAAGGAAATCTCCTTTTAAAGAAAGCTTCTTTGCTAAAGTGGAGCCCACGGCATTTGACAAATACCATTCTTCTAGCCACCTTGAAAACTGCTTTCACAGACTACGGGAACGGCCGAGCATTATTTTGGACCTCTGCCACGGTGCTCGCTGAATGTTTCTATCATGCTGACGACGCTGGGCTTCAACCACCAACAAAAAATCATACGACCTGATATGGAGGTTCCGAGACTTCTTTTTTTGGGAGTGATAACAGTTCAACAATTGATGGAGTACCAAGAACTGGTGTTTTTGAGGTTTGGCTCTTTTGTAAGAGAGGGGTCTTCTCAACCATTTCATGATTCATTATCCATCTTTTCCAACCTATTCCATATTGACTTTCTTCTTTCATTCATTCATTCATTCATTCTTTCATTCATTCATTCTTTCATTCATTCATTCTTTCTTAACTTCATTTGGGACTTGTCATTAAACTCAATTTACAACACCACATTCGAACCTCAAACATTCCTACACTCCTTTTGAAGTTCAGAACTTCTTCAATTCACCTTTATTTTCTTTGATACCATTCATCACCTCCATCTCCCACCTCCACAACCGCCAACCACCAAAACCCACATTCCACCATGTTATTCCCCAGCAACTTCGCCATGGCCGCCGTCCTTTCCACCCTCGCCACCGGAATCCCCGTCTCAGGACCCCAAGATCTCCAAGAATTCACAAAGAGAACGCTCCCAGCCGATCCATCATTGATCTCCGTCACCTTCCCCCGGATCAAGAAAGCGGCCGAGAAACTCGGGCTCTTCACAAAGCAGCCCAAAGGTCCTGCTCCTCCTGCTCCGGTGATCGTTGAGCGACCAAACAAATTGCATGGTGTGGCATAGAGGGGATCTGAACTTGAACGCGATCCGGAGCCAGTGTTGGGTCTTAACGCTTTGAAGGCTGCTGCTGAGAATTAGAAGGCTTTGGAGTTTGGTTTTGTTGGAATGATTTTGTTGGAATGATTTTGTTGGAATTATTTTGTTGGAAGCATGATAGAAAAGTACCTGGGTGAGATGGTTTTGGTCTATGCGAACAGGGACCTTAACTGACGACTGACACTAGGGCGATTATTGCTAAGGCTATCATTGGGAAGGGAGGGGCGACGGTTGCGGTTCTTTTGTGTTTAGGGTTTTGCTATATATAAATGAATCATAAAGACAAGATTGAGTTTTTGAGTTCAAGACAACTGGGTACTTGTGACGTCGGCGCTTGAGATGTTGAGTGCAATATTAATCGGAGTTCACTAGTGCTCTAGATACAACCAATTTTCGTTTTCCTTGCCTTTTAAAGCTTGTCCTTTGCTTCATTTCAGTTGGTGTAACCGGTCTACGGTTTGGTATGCCCGAATCTTACAATCAGAAGCGAACTAAATGAGTTTTGTAAATATACTTCATCCCAGGCATAATAATTGTACGGTTAGTTCTTTCAGTGAAGAACAGGGAAAAAGACATACGTAAAAGCTACAATTATTATGCTTGGGACGAAGTAGATCTTTGAGTAAGGTTATCTATACAACTCTAGGTAATTGGTTGCGTCTTGTATCTTCTCGTAACAGTCAAAATGGCACGGATTCTTCTACTATATACTCGTGGAAGTTTGTTGAATTCCAGATGTCGAAATCGAGGAACAGCGTGAGAAAAATGAGTTAAAACATTCCACCTTTAGAATCTGTTGATACAGTATTTTAAATTACTCCATTCGTATCGCCAGATATATGACGAAACAAAAAAAGACTTTCGCACTTGACCAAACAGTAGTGCGTTCGTTTCGTCACATTAGTGCAAATTGCATGCAAACTGAGAGAGATTTGCACAGGTCCTGGGGGTCTAAGAAAATGTGCAAAGTTTCCGATTGGCACCCCAATATGCACCAGGGAAAATGGGAGCCAAACAGGCCCTTAAGTCAGATTTCATGCTTTTATTTTACAGGTATTCCCTCCATCCTATGCGCCAGCATGAAGAATACAACCACCATCCACAGCCACAGTCTGACCATTCAGATACTGATTCGTAGCCACAAACAACACAGCACCCGCCATATCCTCATCCTTTCCAGGTCTGTGTGCTGGAACCTTCTCATACTTCCCCTTCTCGATATGACTCTTCTGATCCTCTCCGCTCTCACCAGCCGTCATCTCACTGGGTAACACTCCCGGTGCAATACTATTGATTCGAATCTTGATATCGTTCTCCGCAATCTCGGAAGCCAGCATCTTGGTCAAATGGATTGCCGCGGCTTTGCTCGCATTATAGCCGAAATGATTCTGTGCACTCTGGACAATGCCAGAGATAGATGAGATATTGATGACAGTAGCGGAATATCCATGTTGCATCTCACTCGCCTTGTTCAGCAATGGCAAAAACGCAGTAGTCATGAAGAATAATTGCGGAACATTCGTTCGGTAAGTATTAGTCCAATCATCAAAAGTCGAGCCCTCGTCATTAAACAAGTTTTTCTTCATCTCTTCTGCCGTCTTTGCATTCGGGGATTGTTTGTTTCCTGCGATCCCAGCGTTGTTGATCAGAATACAGAGACACTTCTCTCTGGATTCAATCTCCTTGACTAGACGGGAGATCTCTTCTTTCTTTGAGATGTCGGCGACGATGGGGATTATGGAGCCTGAGATATTTTGGCCATATGTTTTCACTACCGTCTCGAGTTTTTCCTCGGTTCGGCCCACGATGTAGACCTTTGCTCCGTTGACGGCTAAGGCTTGGGTTGCCATTAGACCAATTCCACTTCCGCCTCCAGTAACCAAAGCAACCTGAATTTCATTAGTTTTGAGTCAAGTACTGTATTGTACTGGGTGTATTCACTTTATCCTTGACGCTGAAAACATTGCTCAAGAGGAACTTTTCGTTTGATTGAGACATGGTTGATGATGTTGAGAAGGAGTTCTTTCTGGTTTTTTGTAGAACTGTAGTTGAATTTGAGTAAGAGAGAGAATACGATTTGGAGAGCAAAGTAGGTAGAGGTGTAGAGGCTGAAATAGGCAAGCTGAAGACAAAACGCGAACGTGACGTCACGATTCTTCGAGAAGAATTGGACAAACGAGTTAGGGATTTAGAAAACATGGCAGTGGCTTGAAGCTGGGTAGAAATTTCGAGAAAACGAGAACAGGATGTATGGTGTGTTGTCCAATTGACCAATCAGTCTTGTAGTCAATCAAGTGATGCAAACACCAACATGGAGAATGTGGAACATATCCGCTTGTGGCACTACTTGCGCCCGCTCGGGCAGTGGGTCGGAATAGAAGCTCCGGCTTGCTTTGTTACATAAATCGAATGATGATGACGATTTTGAGGTTTGGAATTCAAGTAAACGTCAGAGTACTTGTGGCGTTGGCAACGGAGAGATATCGGATGTATGTTCGGACCAGAACCGGGACCTTCCCAATATATCGTGGATACGCAAAGTGCCAGCCATGAAGTAGGCAGTTCTTTTCTTCAAACAATCAACTCATTTCAACTACCCTAAATAATGTAATCAAGTAACGAAATATCCTAGTACCTTTGGAACACCTTACTCTGCCATAATAGGCAAAAACGTCACCTCTGCCAATTTCCATGTCTCAACATCCCATTAAACCCAATCCACATATTTCACAAGATTTCTTTTTCACACTCTTACGCACACGTTTCTAAATCCCAATAGGTAGAATGCGAATGAACCCCCCATTGCCAGCTATTTAGGTCCGTGGTGTTTCCCTGTCCGAAATTCCTGAACCCCTCCTCTCTTCCCCCCTTCCCCTCATCCAAAAGAATATGCAGTATGAGAATTCAAAATACCTTCTCCTAACACACTCTGACACTCGCTAGATCACTAAATATTTTACACCGCCAGCTAGGATGAACAAACTCTACATGTATTAGATGCCTATCTCGTTTCAATCGGTCCAATCATTGGACGAGAAGGGAGAGTGTAACTGAGCAATTACAATTCTAAGTCGCTTTCACGAACTAGTCCGATACAGCAAGAAAATCTATTACAGAAGCATGTTGCATTGTTAAACCCACGCAGCATCCCCTGGTGAGAATTAGGTATATGCCACGCAGGATAACAAGACTATAAACAGCCCCTCAAAAGATCAAGGATAGTCTCAGATCCTACCGAGTAGTGAGAGGAAACAAAATGAAAAACTCATTTCCAACAGTACTGTGTCACCCAATGAAAAAAGATACGCGCTGAGACTCTGCATTAATCACAAAATACAAAATGCATGCAACCAAAGCCCAACAAAAGTGATCCGCCCATATGCAGTGACGGCTAAACTCCGTAATCGCCATGCAATCAATCCCAATGATAGCCCAAGTACGACAAGTACGATACGCCAACGATCAAAACTCCAATCCAACCGCTTGCTCGCAGTAAGATGCTAACATTTCCTACCATTCTTCCATAAGTTCCACCAATATCTAGTCCTCGCCCAAACTCTCCCTAACAACCTTCCTGCAACGTCTCTTGAATTCCTTATCTCCATCCTTCTCAGCGCGCCACAACTTCGCAGCCTCTACGTTTGCGGGACTCTCATCATTGGGACTGTGTAACAAACTGATGGTGCTGAGTAGGATTGTCTCGGGAGTTTGCGTGGGGTTCCATCGCTCGGATGCATGCTCGTAACCGTATTGGTCGTCGCCTGGTTGGTGAAGAATGGAGATGCAGAGACGACCATCGGGGTAGATGTTGGGGTGAAAGGGGATGTGTTCTTTGAAGGTAAGAGTTGGTGGGTTGAGAGGGTAGGTTGGGGGGAAGGAGAGGTGGCAGGTGAAGTTTCCTCCTGTGGGTTCTTATTAGCAACGTAAATCACAAAGGAGGAGGGGATAGAAAAGAAGACTTACCGCCGTAGTATTTACAATCGTCGCTGATCATGAGCATTACCTCCCACTCAAAAGGGTTGTCGTTGAGCAATCCACATGAGATACCTGGCAGATCCTTTGTCTTTTGCATCTCCTTGAACTGGCGCATTAGCAGTCCTTGCGTTCCTGCTGAAGGCTGCGTCATCTTGTTCCTGTGGATGCTTGGATGCTGTGAGCCGTGTACTCGATCCAGACAATGTCTTGTGCGAGGAGATCTGAGAGAGAAAGCCGGTGGATTGCTTCAATACACCTGGCCTGACGATGATGTGAATCGAATCGTTATTGTGCTACACGGAGTGCGCTACAAGACGTAAGTGATTGAGCGTGAGGTTTTTGAGAGTTGCTGGACCTTGTCGGTGATTGACTCGAGGACTTGGAATGTAGGATTAGAGACTCGGATAGTGAACAAGTGTCGATCGTCGAGAGATGGGGAGGAAGGGCTGCTTGAAATAGGCTCGACCGCTGCTGAGAGAACTTCGCAGAATTGGCCCAAGGAAAGGTGCGTGAGATGTTTGGGAAGAATAATATGGTTCTAGATTTGGTGGGGTTAGGAGGAGGAGGGGATGTTCTCGCTAATGTCCGATATCGCCGACATGCACCAGGAGTTTCTTCGGATGATCCTGAATCGCATTGCTACACTTATGAGAAGAACCAAAGCATGACTAGTATCATTCTAACACTCTACTTATAATCTCAACAAGAAAAGACATGAAACACAGGATAACGATCCCCTATGAGCAAAACCTGCTCTCAAGTTCACTGACTTTTCAATAACAATAGAGAACCGTCACGCTTAACAAAAACAAAGTCTCGAAACAAGCGCAAGACCTTTGAGAAACAAGAACTGCTTACTCATGTGATATATAGTGCAATACATTAAACTGAAAGGACAACAAAGACACAGATATTCTAATTAAGATACTTGCTAATACTTTGAAGCCTCTTTCATTTTCCAAGACAAACACAATTCCATCATGATATGAAGACTCCCACGATTAGCGGTAAGTACTATAATATTTATAATTCCATAGACATAAATAATTACTAGCCTTTAGCATTTGAAATTCCATTCTATTCTAAATCCCCCATTCCATCCCCCCAGACAGGAAAATGCCAAGTGCCAACGCTAGCACAAAGGTAATAGTCCTAGATGTTTCTAGACAAAGCAAGAATCAGTCCATGCTTGCCACAATAAGCCGTACATACCATTACCTACCTTGTGGAGAATCTCAGTGTTTTAGAAAGTAGCGAATAACAAGATGAGAATACTCAAGATACTATATCCTAAAAACATAATAGATGGTTATCAGAATTAGTAGCGAGTATCTAAGCGAAGTAGTAGATACCTTCAAGAATTATATTAAATTACGGCTCGAATGCTTATGAACGCGATCTGGTCAGCTAAACGACTTTAATCTATAGCAACTGTTATAGAATTAGACACCTTGACTCTACTCATCCCGCCCTCATACAAGTCCTATCTACTCGTACCCCTCTAAAACCCCATTATCCCACAGAGTTCAAGAAGTACTCTAGAAAGATTCTAGATACGAAGGGAATCATATTCCATTTACCGAACTGCTTTAGAACAGAATGGAAAAGAGCAGAAAGACTCCCTCTCGATTCTCCCCCAACCAATAAGGGGTTTCCAGTAGCGCAGAGGATCCTTTTTAATAAATACTGTAGAATGGAACGTGTTCTTGTACTCAAACCAGGTCTTAAATGTTGTTTCTCCCTTCCTTCCTTTCTATGTATTGATCGCATCACTTAGCGAGAGGGCCTACCCAGCATTAGAGCGGCAATGCCTTACAAGGAGCTTACAAGTTACAAGAAATATGTAGTAAACAGCTGGAGACGCATGAAACCAGAGGAACTAGACAAAGTACGTGAACTATATTCCAGAAAAGAATACCAGTCAAGCCTCGTTTATCCGGAGCCCCGAGCAAAAAAGTGGACCATTGATGTGCTGAATGAAGAACATTATATACAAAAATGAGGGCTTTCCCTTATACAACGAAAGATCTCAGCTCCGCCGTTCCCACTTGGTGTTGTCGTATCTTCCTCTGATTGCCAGAGAAATGGAGGGGCGTTTCTTGCTCTCACGCTATCCCGCCCTCGACTAAGTGATGGAATTGTTTAAGGATTCGGTGATGTCTGGGTATATATATCCAAGATTCTCCGTTATTCGAATTGGTATTTGACAATAGATTTCCTCTCATCCGCTTCCTACAGGTCTTGCTATACCACTAAGATCAACGACACCACCTCCCATTCCCTTACGTTCTTGTTGAACCCATCCAGGCACCTCGATAGATGTTCCCTCTCTTTCCGCCCGGGCTTTTAGTACTTCCCACACATCAGGAAATCCTGCTTTCAAGGGCCCTCCTCTTTGCTTGGCCCCCAAGATGGCGAACTTTCCTTGATTGTGACTGATAAACCCACGCAAAAGGCTTTGCTGTACGAGACTCGCCAAGATCGACTCGATCTCGATTATGTCTGGCATTTTGTTTCCAAAGATTGTTCCCTCCTGCGCCCTCAACCTTTTGCGACCCGTTTTCGGGGCAACCAAATCTGGACTATTCATGAACATCGTATTTGTATGCGTACGACCAGACTGCATCAGTGATAAATTGTCCACAGGTCTCTCCCATCCTTCTAGGATCTTCTGACAGTAATGGGCTGCGGCAACCAAATCAATAATGTCGAGTGTAGGTGCTTTGCGGGAATTTGGATCAGTAGGAAATTGATATGTGAGTAAGAAAATCCTGCGGGCAAGTGATCGCCACACCAATATCTCACAACGCGAGAGTATTGGTAGTAGTATTCCTTTGTTAAAGAACCACTCTTGATTGCCAGATTCTGGTCCTAAGGCACGTTTAAATGCAACAATATCTCCTTTTCGAATTGCCTGTGAGATTGGCACGAATTTGGGCAACAAATCTGCTGATTCTGGCCGTGCCATGAACGCATGGGAAGGAAATCGGCCCAATATCATATTGGTGGCCATCAAGTATATCAGGATATTCCGTCTCTGGTTTGTACATTGAGCATGGCATTGATCATATGCCGATTGTAGGGTTAGTTGTGCGCGATAGAAGTGATTGTTCGAGAACAAAAAGCGGCCGAGGTAGTATAGGTAGGTTACGCGTTGACTTGCTGGATAAAGTCCAAGAGGAGGGGAGTGTTGTGTTATATTCGTGAACAGTTGATTCGCTAGACGAGTTTTCCGGCACTACAATGCTAATTAGAAACCTTTGGCCGCAATTCATCAAGAGAAATTCATCTTACCTGGAATAAAAGCTTTAGGACCATATTTGCAAAGGAGTATATCCCAATCTTCTTCCCCTCGGGTCTTCCGTCGCGCCCCACTCCATTTCTGTTGGAACTTCTTTCCGTAAGGCACATTGTGAAGGCTCTTTGTATACACTCGGCAGTCCCTTCTACCAGTGTCTTTCTTCCCTCTCCTTGGTCCGAATCTGCCATTTTGCGAAGCTTCCGTGTCAGATCCGGTCTCTTATCCAGCATCATGGCCAACTTTGCCAAATTCGAGGACAATTGCATAACCGTAGGCAAGACGATTATGCCGTAGGAGGGATTCGAAAGAGAAGTAATGCAGGCGCTGCAATACACCGTTAATTTGTTGTCGCGAACGTCGGCCGAGATTACCTACTTGACAACGGAGGTGAGTTGCGAATGCGTTTCCAGCAAGTCCCCAAAGTCGACATCTCTCCAAAACTCAAGGTATTCCTTCATGAAGGCCAGAAACCCAGGCCAGACATCGCCTTCATCTGGGCCGCCATTGTCATTCTCGGGAATGAGCCTCTCGATTTGCTTCTCGAGCAGACTGCTGTCGCGGTACGAGGTCTTTAATTCTTGGCTGAGTTGAGCGAAATGGTCGGGCAAAGGAGGTTCGACTCGAAAGTACAGTTGTAATTGATTTGCGTCCTTGGAGCGGAGGAAGGAAGATATGGATTTGAGAAATTCATCGACGATAGCCATGTTGGTGGTGGGGATTGGAGGCTTGAGATGGGTTGTGATGAAGTTGTTCAGTGATCTGCGATGGGTGATGGGATGGAGGGAGTGGAATTTTATGTGACGAGTACATCTGGAAAGAAAGGTGGAACAATTCACGGCGAAAATGCATGGGAACAATTGAAAGGAAAAATTGCCATTGTCTATTGTATGTTCATTGAGGTGTTGTCAATAAGTGCTTGAGTACTACTCCGTACTTCTACCGCAAGAAGCTAGCTAACGGCGAAACTCTGGGTAAATAGATCCAGAAAGCTTGGCACGCGTATGCACTCATCCCCGGCCATGCTCCCCTCACCACCCTCAAAATCTACTAGTACTCGTACTCCCCTCATGGTCTGTGAGATTATGGTCTCTCCTGCAATTCTGATGTCCTGGAATGGCCTCACATTCACCTTCACCTTCACAGCCTCTGATACTCAATCTTGAGCTTCTTGAATAGTGCCATCATTCCTTGAGCCTGTACAGAAGGAACGGGATTTGCAGGACCGCGCTTAATTCTGGCTTTTCCCAATCTCTGCATCGCGAATCAATTCTGGTGATGGTCAAGGTGCGTGGATCAAGACTGTCAACCAACTCAAGCCATATCTGTTCACGGATCTCCCAGGGAAGTTTGGAGAAACCCCATTCTGTTGTATTGCTCGTCTTGATCGACATATCCGTGGGTACAGTAGCAGCCGCCGTCTCTTTCTCTTTTGCTTGTGCCTGGTTGTCGATGATGGTTGACTCCTGGGATGGTTGCTCCTGGCGTTGGTCATCCAGTTGGAAATGACACTCCATTTTGCTGGCCGCGCTCCGCTTGCAGACCTCAATCAGTATACTGCCGCGTAGGTGTGCTTGTAAGGTAGAGATACCGCCGATGTCGTTACCAAGGTTGGTCAAAAGCCTTTGCGGTCTTGCGGGTTGTTTGTTTGCTGTGTCCGATGGATGAAATATTATGTTGTGAGCTCTATCTAGTTGACAGAGAGGCCAGGCTGCTTATGACCTAAGGCAACAGCTTCTATTCACCAAGGGTACTTTTGATTATTAGTGGCAGTAGGAGTGCTACAAGCTTCTACATTTACTAGCCGCCTTTTAAAATGCCAACCATGAAAGCTTCACCTTTTCCCTACACCTCGAAGTCTAGGAGGCATTTCATAATATATTAAAGATTATTTCAGCTATACTAGAAGGTTAGTATAATAACATTTTATATAGTATTGTGACAGACGTGCTTCAGGTAGAACTCAGAACAATTAACACTCTATTCTTAGGACAAAAGACGAGGAAAGAAGGAGAGCTCAAGAGAGCTGGGAACTAAATACAGGTCGTGCGCGCTAGCGCCTCGCTAAGCGAGCATGTGACATCCAGCCCTCGTGACCATAACCGTCACAAGTATTATAAATATAGAGTAAAAACTAGGTATCTTATCGAGTAACAACTAGGTATCTTATATATCGAGCATATAATAATAATATCTAAAACCCCTCGAATAATTAAAATAATAATATAATATAATTAAGTTAACGTGCATGTATAGCGAACCGGCCAAACAAGCGAACCGGCCAAAACCCGGCGACCCCACCACACCTCCACGAAATATTAAATTTCTCTACAACGAATGATGCCTCTGAAAAATGACGAAAGCCGGTTAGTCTTAGCTATCCAAGCTATGCAAAAAGACCCAAATTTACGTGCTCGAGCTGCTGCCAGGACCTATTCTGTAGACCACCGGAATGTAACGAATACTCAAACTGGCTAACTAAACTTGGCTGGGTGTTCGCTGGTTGGTATGCTATGATAAGAAGAAGACTATCGGGTTGTTCACTTGGAAGTGAACTCGTTACTTGTATCAAAGATGTCAAACTAATATGATAAGATTGATAACTAAGTTGAGCACGAAGCTCCTATCTAAAGGCAGAAGTGCCAGTCTTATATAGAACCTTCGTTCTCGTGGAGCCTACGGGGAGCCCAAGATCCTCAAGCTCCAACGATCATGTGACCCTGTCACGTGATACTAACTGAATGAAATCCCTGGATCGCTTAGCTAGCCCAAGCGTCCCTATTTGCTATAAGAGTACTGATAGTGCTTGACCTTTCAGGACGCCGCCTGGTCTTCTCTTATCACGTGAACACGTGATTCGTGACAT